TCATCCCTGGTATCAAGCTGATTGTCCTGGAAGATCCCTTGCTATGGATTGCGAAAGATGTGTTCAGACAACACTTTCCCGATTCTTCAGTGGGCACCTGAGAGGACTTACTTTTGAGAGTGGTATCAAGATGCACCCAATTTGTTCTAAGTGTCACAATGCACCCGCATCACAGGCACATATCCTTGAGTTGTCTCTTGTGGACCTTTACGGGTCTCCTAAGCTTGTTTTCGATTTTTTAAAGGTGAATGGACTCGTGGACCTCGTCTAGTATATTCCTAGACATGGAGATTAGTAACAACAACAAATATGCAAGTAAATGCCTTAAGAACACAGAGACTTGGTTTGGCTGGTTTATGTAACTACGGCAAAGCCTCGAGGGCCATCTGCCTAGAGGGAAACTGGCTCGTTACACTTTACACATGGGGTAAACTATAAAAACGCCCATGCAGCCAGCTCTTTCTCAGGATTCGAAACTCGAACCGAACTACTAGTGTTTACCATCTCTCAGTTGCTGGTGGGCTCAAGAACACAGAAGCATCCGTTTCCTTGGGCAAAATAACCCTCTTCGGTTTTCACTTGATCAAATAAGTAAACCAACAGCTTTCATGTGCATAAACAGCTCATAAGAATCATTAATAGTTTCAGTTAGACCAAGTACCCCTCCCCGAAAAAAAGGGGGCAGTTCTGTATCACCCGTTCTACTGGCTTGACAAATTTAACTTGCATTTTTCGTGTCTAGAAAGCGCGACTTGAGATTCATATTAGATTTATATTTCATTTCTGAGGTTACAGCCCTCTTTTGTACCGTCCTCCTTTTTTTAGCACCATCTCTCCCGTCCTTGAGCGACCTCTTAAGTGGTACGCTTCTCGGCCAAGAGACAAGGTGTCTCTTGGCCGAGAGAGAATACAAGACCTTAGGTCGACAATCGTCTTGGATACAAGACCTTAGGTTGACAGAGTTTTACGTCCGATACGACCAAATAGGAGATTATATTTATATATAGTATTGTTCTAAAATAGACATTTGGCGCTAAATCAGACTTTTCTGCTTGGAGCCCGCCCGTTCTTTGGAATCGAGCTCAAGTCTGAACTACCCTAGTGTTCACCAACTTTACCACTCGGCCGCTGGTGGAACAAAAATTATTGAAGAATTGAAAAGAAAAAGAAGGTTCTTTTGCATTATAGGACGAAAACACGCAAGCAATTTTCTACATCCTTCGCCATTGTGGCCTGTTGACAACCATTAAATTAAATGTGTCATTCTTATCTCTTACAGTATCAGTGTTCTCGTTTCTGAAGTAAGCATTGGCAATTAAACGTTTTTAAGAATGTCATTCATTATATTTAGTTCCTTGGTTACTGAAAAACCTACCAAGAGGGTATATTTCTTATGTTTGAAAATAATGTTTCTGAGCTGAAAGTAAGCTGATGACAAAATATATTTTCTTGCTCAAAACATCAAGTCGATGTATTTATATCTTTCTTAACAAAATTCCTTGGCGCATGCTGTCCTTCAATACCTACGATCCAAAAAAGATTGCGTAGAATCCGAAGTTTGAGAAAATTATTTCGCATTTCGTAGTTATAATCTCTGTCCAAGCGCACAGTTGGAGAAAAAAGGGTAATGATGCATTTTAACTTTTCTTTGTTGTTATAATTAAGGTTTGGTTCGATTTATTTGATTATGGCAAATCATTCGAGGGCTATCTGGCTAAAGAGAGTGATGCCTTCATGGAGGAAGTACTAACGATACTGGCGCGTATACACATTACACAAGAGGAAAATCATGAAAACGTCCATGCAGCTAGCCCGTTTGACTGTATTTGAACTTCGGACCAAACTGCCGGTATTTAGAAATTTTACGCTCGGCCGCTGGTTGGCCTGTAATTAATTAGGATCAAGTACATAAGGTCATTGCTAAAAGAAAGGATACATTTTGGAGGTCTTTGTAAAGCAAACTAACAGGTATTCATGTTACACACAAGAGAAAACTACAAAAATGACTATGTAAGCCAACCGGTCTGCCAAATTTCGAGTGTTTAGCGGTGGCATCGTTTAAGCTCCGATACTTTATTCCAAACCAAGAAATTCGAAAAGAGTTCCGAGGAAAGAAATTACGAATATTTTTATTTTGTTTTGAACTGTTTCTTACCTTAATAAAAGCAGTTTTCGATAATAAAGTATAAAATTCAAAACCCCGTTTTACATATCAATGAAACTTCCTAGGTAAATAAAATTCAAAAAATAACTTTTTAACCTGAAAAATTTTAATCCGACTATATGAGCCACTTCTTAATTTTAATCAATAATTTATAACTTAAAAATATAAGGTATATTGAGGGCGAGAAATTAACAATTAGAACTGCATTATTAGTTAGAACACCACTAGTTCTAGATTGTCTGAAGCTTTATTTGCTTTTAACATTTTTGAAAGACGTTCTATTCCTTTTTACGTTTAAAAGTTAAGAAAGAGCTATCTTGTTTCAGATATTTTATTTTCTATACTTAGATGCTGAGTACTCCTTACAGGGTCAGATGGGGTTGGTGTCACCAACGTGGCCAACTTACATAAAAAAAAGATACCAGCACCTTTAAGTTGGCAAAAATTTTTTAAGGGCTAATCTTTGGAATATGGTAACAGGTAGTTTGGCGACATTTTGTTAAGGCGATAAAGGTTACTAGCTAGGACTTTAGCAGTGTACATGGATAAAGTCAAAAGTGTGCGTAAGGCCATTTTTGTGCAATTCTGGGATGTTTTTTTAAGTGAAAATAGGTCGACGTGTACATGGATGATACCGTGTATATGCAATTCTTATAAACGCGGCAAGCAGTGGGCGATTCTGCACTTTCTCCCAATTTCGCACCTAAACTTCGTCATGATTAAGCACTTTTGTTCCATAAAAGTTCTAGCATAAGCGTAATTCGGCTAGCAGATTGTTGGAAAAAAATGTTGATAAAAAAAAACATGGCTTTTCTTCATGAAAACAACATGGCGTCCAAAAACAAACTAGCAGGTTGCTGTAGCAGGGTTGGTCGCCAAAAATCGCCAAGTTACCATAATTCAAAAATTAACCTTAAGTCTCGAAGGGTGCCACACATCCTAAAAACAGTTCAGTTATACCATGATTAATATAATCTTCATCAAGATGTTGAGACGAACATTCACTTAGTGATTATTAGTCGACTTGCATTAAAGGTATCGGCAACATTATGAAATTGTGCAGATAGTAACAGGGTATAAAAAATTTCAGTTTTTATGCTGTGACGTAATTATTAGATTCAGCAGTTTTGTATTTGCAACGAGCTAACGACGGACTTGCTGATTCTGATAAAAGGTTTCTTAGGTGATCCCAGAAGGAACATTAATAAATACAAGACAATTAAGCCATTGAAGACGCATGACTTGGATGAGCAAGCAGGTAAAACTCCAGGAACGGTCAAGAAAGTGAGGTAAAAGGGCACACATGCAGTGAAGCAGGGCGTCACCATCCAGATATCTCGATGGTGACGAGCAGGGAGGCCAATGTCTCTGCTTCACTGAATGTGTGCCAACTTAAGGGAAAGCTACAAGATGCAAAAGTTAACCCGCGCGGGGGGGGGAAGTAAACGTCGGTAACCAAATCTAGGTTACGAAGTTGTGATCGTTAAACTTGCGAATAGCAAATGGTCTGATTAAGTTATTTTCTGGAATGATTTCGCACCTAAGAACTTCTGAAAAATTATCACAGCTAAGTTCAGTTTTGAAGTAACGCTTATTTAGTTTAGTAATAGCCTTAAGGCTCGATTTCCAAGTCATCATGGATCAGTTTGTTTCTAATCAGGTAACATTCCTTTACAATTCTTCGTAGAATATCATTCTGTACTATCCGAAGTTTGTGGAAGTTTACTTTTGAAGCTGACGCTCAGCTACGTAGCAAGGACAGGGACAGGGAAAAGTGGACGAAGCACCAGAACTTCGTCAGTGACTTTTACAGGTGTTGCTCCGCCGCACAGATGCGTAGCATAAAATTGGCCTTATATTACCTAGTTATATCCTTTTCGTTGAGAGACAACCAGAGTAATTTCCAAAGAGTACAGAAAGTTGGCGGGCGACAGCACAGACTTTTTCCCCATGACGTACTTAATATGACATGTCCTGTGAGCCTTTGGTTAATGAAAACCCCTAGATAATCAACGACGGGCTTATAAACGACACTAAATTTAATATGTTCAATACTGGCTTAACTTTCTATTTACCTTTTGGACTATCATTAAATCATTTCCTTCCAATGAGTTTATATTTTTGTTGTTACGCATGAACCCAGCAACTACGTTCAGTATTTCATCAATTTTCAAACCACGGGCGACACGATGCATCTCTAGCTACTGGTGGCTCGGGAAATTCCCCAAATCCCTGATAGCCCATCTGACCTTGCCTTCTTGGGTTTATATCTCATGATGGTTTCCATAATAATTTGAAAATTAGATATTTCGGGAGATTTCTTTTTGTAACATGTTCATATATGCTAGAGGAAGTTCATATATACTAGAGAAAGTTCCCTAAATCTGATAGCTAAAAACAATCCGGAAACTAGTACAGTAAGTGACTACTTGCTTTACTTTGAAACTCAAGAACAAAAAATTATTTAAAGTTTATTTATTTATATACAATATAGCTAGAACAGGTACTTCATTTAAAAACAAAATATTCTAAACTTATGCACGAGTAAAAATTTTCTGTTTAAAAACAAAAATATTTCACTCATGATCAAGTATCATTCAAATTTTCAAGTTAAATTATAACAAATTAGATTAATTATACTAGTTTAAATTAAGTCAATCAATGTTCTAACATTTATTTTTAATCTCATTTATTTAATGTACTAATATAAACAATTTGCAATATGAAATACGAATAAAAACTTCCGCTACACATAAATCAATTACTGTACAAAAGTATGCATATAAGTAATTATTATATAGAATCAAATTCAGCATTATATAACCTAAATACTTACCTAACACAAAGCGGGAAAAATTCTATTGTGTTTCTTAATTGAAGAACCAAGCACAGTACTTGCTTTCCTCCAACTAATAACGATTGATCACCATCGCCCGCACGTATATTTTCCTTATACCACGTTGTTTGTTATCCCATTTGTTTAGCATAGATTTAATGCACCGATTTTGCTTTTATGAAAACCGCTATTATGCTGTGTTGTCTGGATCTACCTTACGGCACTAACCTTCATTCCGTTTTTAAAAAATTATCGAATTTTACAGAAGGAATTTTTCTTTTCGTTTCCAAATGAGCATTTTTACTTGCATATTTACGAAGAGTAAGGAGTTTAAGACAATAAATGTAATTATTTTAAAGTCGACTGCGTTATAAGAAACTCTGTTATGAAAGTATCAGAATATTTATACTAAAGAACAATGAAAGTATTAGAATATTTATACTAAAGAAGAATGAAAGTATCAGAATATTTATACTAAAAAAGAATGAAAGTATCAGAATATTTATACTAAAGAAGAATGAAAGTATCAGAATATTTATACTAAAGAACAGTGAAAGTTTCGTGGTTTCACATAACGGAAAATGATTACTTCGTATTCTGCATGTGAATTCAGAAATCATGTAAAACCGGCTACAGATTCAAAATATCGAGTCATATGTCACAAGTAAATATATTTTATTTACTTGTGACATATGACTCGATAATATTATTTTATTAGAATTTAATATAGTATCTGAACCTGTCTGTTTTCTAATAACATGGCTATGGACTTGAATCGATCATACTCATTTCATCGATCATACGTCATTCAAGGAGACTAAAAGTTTGCTAATCTTTGGAATATGGTAGCAGGTAGTTTGGCGACATTTTGGTAAGGCGGTAAAAGTTACTAGCTAGGACTTTAGCAATAATGAAGTACACAGTTCGAATCACAGATTTTTGTCAGAGAAATAAGATCAGAGACATGTCATGTAACATTTTTCTGGAAATTCCTATCTGATTTGGCTAATAAGCACTTAGAAACATTTCGCTGCTAAAGTGCAGAATAGCCACTTATTTTTGCGCTTTTTACAAGAGCAAGAAGAATTGGATTTTGTCAATTTTCTTTGACCTTTTTAAGTGAAAATAGATCGATGTGTACATGGATAAAGTCAAGGGTGTGCGCAATGCCATTTTTGTGCAATTCTGGGATGTTTTTTTTAAGTGAAAATAGGTCGACATGTACATGGATACCGCGTATGTGCAATTCTTAAAAACGCGCCAAGCAGTGGGCGGTTCTGCACTTTCTCCCAATTTCGCACCTAATCTTTGTCATGATTAAGCACGTTTGTTCTATAAAAGTTGTAGCATAAGCGTAATTCGGCTAGCAGATTGTTGGAAAAAATGTTGAGTAAAAAAAAAAGTCTTTACTTCGTAAAAACAAAATGGCGTCCAAAAAAAAAAAAAAAAAACTAGCAGGTTGCTGTGTAGCAGGGTTGGTCGCCAAAAAATCGCCAAGTTACCCTAATCCGAAGATTCACCTAACAGTTTTCTGACTTTCGAACATTACATATTTATACTTTTCCAAAAACTGTTTTTTGGCAGTTCTCAAATTTCGCCAAAGCAACAGACTGCCAATCACATTAACAGAGCTTACATTGCGCAGTGACATGCTTAGTTAGTGGCTAGCGTCCGCTATACACTATTTATTTCCTGCAATGTATCATGAGATTGGCGACATGTTGTTCCGCTAAATTCTGTCACGTTGCGGAAGTGAAACCTGAATTATCTGTTTACTTTTTTCTTATATTTAACTTGATTGTTATGGAAGGTAATTTTTTATGTTTGGAGCGTTCGAAGTCCAGTGATATTGATTTTCGTCAACAACTTCTTTATTTAGTTTTTCAGGTTTATTTCGGGTTTTATTTTCTGTGAGTATTTTCTCAAAATTGTCCCAGTTTGAGCAAAAAATATTGTGGTAAGCTTAGTCAGAGTTCTGAGAGGGCAGATGAAGAATAAGTGCTACAAAGTGTGTGCCCTTCGGATTACTAATAGGTAAGAGAGTATAATCAAGAATGAGAAAAGAAAGGGGTAAAGTTCGAAGAACAGCCTCGTTGGCGACAAAGTTGGTGATTTTGCAGGATGTATATCAAAAAAGACACTTTTATGATAACTGTAAGTATGAAATAACAAAACAAAACCAATTAAATAAAATCTGAAAGCTTTCAGATTTTTTTTAGACATATACTATGCCCGAAGGGGCGTTTTTTGTGTGATATCTTTATTTATTAAATATCATGCTCTTCACACTTAAACCACATTCAACAGCAATATCACAAATTCAACAGCAACAGCAATATCACAAAATATGCATAAATATCATATCTTTAGAATTTCCGATAGACAGTCTTGTACGCTGCGGATAAAAATGTTATTTTCCGTACACTGCTCGTTTTGAAATCGTTGAGTTTGTTAATAAAAAATTCGTTAAAGTTTTACAAAAGTATGAAATAGATAATAAAGCAAATTCGAAATTCGGGGAGGGGGGTGCAGGTGCCCATATTCGGATTGCGTTATTACAAATTTTCTGGATCTAGATATCGTCATTTTTTCACAATGTGGGAAACATATATACATTCCTGCAGCCTCGTCATTATTTAATTTCTTTAATTCTAATACAGGGCTCTAATATTGAATGGTAACAATCTGAAAAGTGAAACAGGCTTCTATAGTGAAACAACGCAAAATGCCGTTTCGAAACTAATAGCCCTTATGGGCTACAGCCCTTTAGACTAACACAATAAATATTTAAACAAATCTGAAATCCTTCAGATTTTACATTAGGCCCAGAAGGGCGTTTTTTTAAAGTTATGTGTGTTACTTTTATTTATTAAACATCATGTTATTCGCAATTAAATCATAAAATTCAATTCAACAGCCATATCACAAAATAATTTAAAACGAGGATATCTTTAGAATTTCTTATACACAGTCTCGCAAGCTGGAAATAAAAATGTTTCTTTTTAGACCAAACGCCGTTATCCCAGAATGGCTATTAATTTCGTTTTGGCATTTTGCGGCGATTCACTTTTCAAACTGTTGCAACCGAATATTACAACCCTGTGTTCTATTTAAAGAAATTAAACAATAAAGAATCTCCATAAATGTATGTATATTTCTTGCATTGTGATAAAACAACGGTACCTAGAGCCATCGAATTGTGAATAACGTAATCTTCCACCGAATATGTTCATATGAAAGCTCTAATTTTGAATTTGTTTTAGTATGTATTTCGTCAGACTTTAAAGAATTTTTGATAAACAAACTCAAGGATTTCGAGGCGAGCAATGGCAACGTTGATTAGAAAAAATTTTTTTAATCTCCAGCGCGTGAAACTGTGTATCGGAAATTCTAAAGATATGCCCAATTTAAAATTATTTTGAGATATTACTGTTGAATTGAATTTTATGATTTAAGGGCGAACATGATATTTAATAAATAAAGGCAACACATAAATCGTTATAAACGCCCCTTTGGGCGTAAAGTAAAAACTGAAAGCTTTCAGTTTTTTTTTTTTTTTTTTTTTTTTTTTTTTTCCATTTGGTACAGTGTTGTTATTTCTCGCTTCGAAATCGTTGTTTTTGTTAAATAAAAAGTTCGTTAAAGTTTTCAGGCAGCGAGGACGCCCCTTTGCTTACTCCCCTACGGGGTTTTCGCCTTCTACTTGCTTAAAGTAGAGTGCAATGAAGGAAAACACTGGAGGTACACTTCTTAAAAGCCCCCGCTAGCTCAATAAATAAAGGTGATTTAAATAATAAAGTGTTAATTCACATGTCAAAGATCTCTTTGTACACAACATTTCTTGTGTAGATCTTTCCATCATTTTTAAGCGCGTCTTGCAGAGGACCATCCATTATTTTTAATTTTACATCCGTTCTTTCACGAACTCTTGAACAGGTAACATAAAGTTGACCGTGTCCAAATGCAGGCTCAGGTAAAAAAATGCCAACACGCTTAGGCGTTTGGCCCTGAGACTTATTGATTGTCATAGCAAATGTCAAGCTTTATCGGAAATTGTCTACGTCTCATTTGAAACGGTAAACCCTGTGCCGAGGCAACTTCACCCCACTGGCTAGTACAGTTACGCAAGCAACCAATAAATTATCGGCGACAAACAGATACTTTAGCCGCATATAATAAATATATTTATTTATTTCATTTTATTTGATTTTTTCATCGTTGCTGGTTGTATATTTCCGAATTCTATTATATATAGATGTTAAATTTATTTAGTAAATGTTAAATGCACATGATCTTGTATTTTTAATTTTTTCCGGCTTAGCTTTCTCATAATATTTCTAATAATGCTACACTGCACAGGGAATAAAACAATTGACAGTTACGCAAGCAACCAATAAACTATCGACGACAAATACTTAAGCCGCATATATATATACTAAGATTCCCATATATCTGCTCTTCGAGAAAGAGATATCGCTTGTTGGCGCCAACCTACAGCTATAACTAACAAACAACTTTCGCTTTTAATATTTTACCGCTTGAAAGCTGTATGGGCTTACTATTTCCGTGTAGGTCAAAAATAGAGAAAGTAAAAAAAATCACCAGTCCTTTGAAAAAAAGGGAAGAAAAAATAATATTTAAACAAAGTAGAAAAGGAGATGGATATATAATATATAAATACATATTTCGGACCGGCAAATTAAAATCCTATCCTCGCGCGGCGCGCCGGAGTTGGCTCATCCCTGGTGTATACTATAGTGCATGATTGCCCGCGATTTCACATTATGTTTTGGTCTTCAGTAGAAGCGAACTTTTAGAAGTTATCGCCGAGAAAGGATGCAAGGATGCACTGTATTTTACTTTTCTTCTACTTTTTTTTACTTTCTTTATTTCTTGAAATTTTGAATGAATTGAAATTTTTAAGCATTTTAACCATGGTGTCTGATGAACGAAAGCTTTAAAATAAAAACTTTTGAACTAAAAACAAGCGAAAAACTAAAATTTCTACTTTCCATAATGAAAATTTTACGAACTGCTTTTAATATTAAAGATGTCAAAGTATTGGCAGCAGTGTAATTGTATGTTACAGTGTATTGTTTGTTTAACTGGAACGGTTTCTATGGCAACATAATGCTATCTACAGTGTTTTGCCGATGATGGTGTTTTGTAATGTAGTTTATTCTTAAAACACTTTTTTTTTAAATTCTGTTTCGCTTTCTTTTCTTTTACTGTACTATCGGAGATTTTAAATCTGCCGTACTATTGCTTACTATTTGAGGTTTCTTGAAATTATACATTCTTTGTTTGCTAAGCTGTACAGTTGTTTGGTGTATTGAATTTGGTATCGGATTTCATTAGGTTTGAAAATGTTAATTTTTTTCCATTCATTCCCCACATGATAGCTTCTAGCTTGTTGATACAAAAGTAATTTGACACATAATATTTAATAAATGGAGTTGAAAATTATGGTATATAAATAAATATATTGCGTAGTGTGTACCATATATGATTATTTGAGATTACATTTATATTCTCCAGAGAAACATTTTATTTTAATCAGTTCTTTTCAAAGGTAACCATTTGTGAATAATTGCTTATAATATGTTAAATAACATTTAATTTGTAAAAAACAAATATGTTATTAAAATTGTTAGCTACAGTTATTCTTATTAGGAATGGAACTGGATGCATGGTGTACAAGAGTGCACCACTGTCAAATAAAATATGATAAAACTAATGCCAATTCAAAATTAATTTCTGTCTAATTTTACGTTATGGTACATAATGTAGTGCTTTTTGCATAGTGCAATAGATCCATTTCTTTAAATTATTATGTAATTTTTAATTTATGCAAATCATTTTTAAAAAATTGCTTTCTGTACCGTAGCTATCGTTTGGGAAAAATGATGGAAATTAATTTGAATCGTGTTGATTACATGCAGGTAAAAACTATGTTCTGTATTTCAAAGTAATATACTTGTTTTATTTTGTATTATTTTATTTTTTATTGAAATTTAAATGACAATGTGTGTAATAATTAATATATTTTTAACCTTAAGGTAGGTGTCACCTCACCTAAAACAACAAAATTATTACCGAATCCGGAAGAAAAGGCATGTCAAAGGGTAATTCAGATCTTTCATATTTTATTTTAATAATCTTTTTGTACTTTCTTATTATCCACATTCCTGCTTTTAGCACGTTGTAGAATTTCTGTGTTTTTGGTATGTATTCAAGTAAACAGGGCACAGTAGCCAATTCATGCAGGTGTATATCAATCGTGTATTTAAGCATACATGCCGCCCAACTGGGATAGTGGTTAGCATCATTGACTGCTGTGCCGAAGGCCCCGGTTTGAATCCCAGAGAAAGCATGGATGTTTGGAAAGGTATAGTGTCGGTGCGGAATGGCAGCACTCTAAATATGCTGCGAGCCGAAAGTCCTTTTGTGTGATTTGGTGAAACGGGAGAGGGATGAGAGACACTCATACCTTTCCCCACCAGGCTGCTCTCTATCACAATTGTAGGCAGAACTGAGCTAAATCGCACTGTCACCTGTAAAATGCTCAAGGCCGATGACAGCCGTATCTTGTGCACCTTGCCATGAAGTATTTCGTGGACTTATTCTGATGTTACTGTCAGATAACTGATATAAGTCATACACACATTTAAACATACATGGATTTACATGCTATATGTTGAACCATTATTTCACCAGTTGTAAAAATATAAATATTAGCCATACAGGTTTTTTTCCCCTTGTAAAATTTCTAGTTTTTTAGATTTTTTAAAAAAAATTATTATTTGTGAGCAGAACAGTAGCTATAAGGCATAAAGATCCAAACAGATGTTTTTCATTAATTCATAAAGTAGCTAGTGAATTAATTACTTTTTATGGAAGTGGGGATAATCAGAATTTACTATTTTTATTTCTTCATTTTCAAAACTATCTGTTTTGAATGATATATGCGTTAATAGTGCTTATTTCATATTACATTTGAATGGTTTTAAGTAAAATTGTGCTCTTACATTAACAGTGTTGCATTAACGTAACAAAATTATTTAATTAGAATTGTATTTTTAAAATTTATTTTCCATATAGCTCATGAAATTTTTTACTTTCACTGAGATTGTCAGTCATATTACAAAATATAGATTAATTCACAATTGATTTAGAGGCTTTTTCTTTTCTTTTCTTTCTTCTGTTTATTTTTCTTTTGTAAATTAAATTTTTAATGTTTGCTAGAGCAAGAGACTGTACCTTATGTCCATTTTTGATGAATAAACTAATATGTTTAAAGAATAAGCCATTTGCTACTTTAATCCATTGTAGACTTTCCGAAGTTCATACTGTTCTGTTGAAATGATTTGTCATTCTGAATTTTGGATAAAACAATTTTAACGGGAATTCAGTGACAAAGTTATGACCATTTTTGAAATTATGTATCACAAACGTAGTATGTAAGTAATATTTATTTAAATCCCCAACTGCTGTAATTTAAAATTTGTGATATTTTGATAGGTTTGAAACTATCATTTAGGTATGGGAATTTTATTTAACTCTTCAGCTATTTACTAATTTAGAGTAATTTACACCTTGATGATATGAAAGGATCAAACTTCATGATGTTTGTTAAGTTTATTTTTAATGCATTAAAAAAGAATCATTTCTGTGCAAGTACAGTGAAACCTAAAACAGTTGTGTTCTATTGATGTAGGGATATTAGACAAATGATTCACTGCCATTTGCGTTGTGATGCTCATTATCATTGTTTATTTATATTTTTAGAAATAGTTATCTCTTTTAGATGTGGTAATCTCATGTAGAATAGTAATCTACATGAGATAGTAGCCATGAGAGGTTAATACAGTCAAAAGTCGTTAATCCGGACTCGTTGGGACTTCGGCGATTCCAGATTGATTTTTCCGGATTATAGATCATCAGTTTAAATCTGGTAAGATGGCATGCAGAAATTATAAAATTAAAAATATGAAACTGTAATTTATGAAATAAAGAACAATTATGATCTAAAGGGTATCAAAATTTCAAAAAAAAAAAAAAAAAAAAAGCTTAATATTTATTTGTTTACTTTATTAAACATTTCTTTCAATGTAAGTTGTTTAAGTTGCTTCATTTTAATGTGATAATACTTTCTCTTTAATTCTATTAAACAGACATAATTTCTTGTTTAGTTACAAAGTTCGCTGTTCAAGTCCTATATTTGCTGTGTCGAGAATACAGACTAATTTGTCAATCGAAATTTTTTCGTTTTCAATAACCTCTGTGTCACTTTCTTCACTATCGGAAGCGAATTATAATGATGAGGAACTCGATTTAAATCATATTAAAGACGGAGTACATCAAGATAAATAGTACTACATTTAGTAAGGAATTATAAGCCGAATAAAATAAAAACATCTGCCCTGAAGATAAGGATAGTGCTGACAGATCAACTTCCAATTCAACTTCTAAAAACAGATTTCGGAATGGTTAGAGAAACGAAGGATATGCCTTTATCCATTTTTTGCAGCAATTCCACTTTTTGTTTAATGGACTTCAAAACATACTTTTGCTTTGTAGATTCTTTACATATTAGTAAATATATATTGGAAATTCTATTTGACATAATCGAAAGTTCAAGCTTACTTTTATAAAATTGCTCTAACAGTCTGCAAAAATAATAAGCCGGATCCAATTCGAAGATTAAGGAACAACGCAATCTGCAACATTAACTGAATTAGATAATTTTAGCTTAGCTTATACCGTCTGTTATACATTATTTACGTCTGTTATACATTACGCGCATGCATAAACGTATTATGCGCATGCGCACATGCATATTCGCAGTCGTAAAGGTCTTAAGCACATGTGCAGAAAGTTTGTAGCTTTGAGGTCCGGATTATAGATCATTCCGGATTATGGATATCCAAATTAACAAATTTTGACTGTACTAGTAACTTCTTGTTAAATGTGAACTTTCTGAGAAGGAATGATAGCTACCTCTCAGCAAATATTCATGTTCTGGTTGGAGGTGCAGGAAGCATTTTACGAGTCAAACAGAAATGCTGGAAAAAATGTAAAAAAAATGCATAAGCAAACTGAAATCAATGTAAATTTATAATTTTGATGTTCTAATTAATCCTCCCAATCTGAATATAAAGGAGTTTTGAATATTCTTTTAGCATTAATAGTTGTATTTGGCTTTGGTTGCAGCAAAGCACAGGAGGACTAATTTCCTGTGAGGACATGCTTTCATAGAGGACTTTGTAATGAAAATGGCTGATTTTTATCCTGCACATAAAAAAATAAAATAAAAAAACCACTAAAGCAGTATGTTGGCAATCCATTTAACTCATGTCGAATAACCAATTTACAACAATTTTATCATCTGACTTAAATCAAAATTCCTTTTGTAGTAACAAATCTGGTTGATTGATTTAAATGAGAGTTATTTTCCAAGGAAGGGAAGCCTTCATGAAAGAACTTTTTAGAAAACTGCTCCATATTCATGTTACACACGAGGAATATCATGAATACACCCATGCAGCCTACCTGTTCCCTGGTATTAAAATCCAGGTCGGATTATGAATGTTCATTGATATTATTCAGTCAGCTACTGGTCATCATAAATTAACATGCAGCAGACTATTTATAATCCACATTTAATTTTTTCTTTTATTGGTTTTATTATTCTTTTTATTTATCAATTTATAACTGCTCTGTAAGCTGAAGATGGGATAAAATGAATATATTAAATGAAATAAATCTATCAAATCAAAAGTAGATATTTTAAGAAAGCCTTTTATGAATTAATTTTTTTAACTTTGAAGAGTTTTTGCATCATTTCTACTTAAGCTGTCTTGTAATTATACTACTGTCATTAGTTCTTTTTTTGGGTATCAAATTGCAGCTAATGAGAGTTTTAAGATTTATATAATTTGAATGATTTGCAATTTTTATTTCCTTTTTTAAAAGTATTATTTTGATAAAGATTCAAATTATAATTTGAAGATGGCATAATTTCTTTACATTTTCTTATATAGGTTGCTGTAGCTGATCATTATGGAGTTGTTCAGTGTTTTGGAACAAAAAAAGGAGATATTCAAGTAATTTTTCCTGGTTTTTATATAATTTCACAAAATTTATATGTTTATTAGAGTAATTAAGAATTGTTTTAATTATTACCAAACTTTAATGACTGCACTTAAATATACTAGTCATTAACTTAAATGTACTACAATGTACTCCATTTCACTGTAGTACATTTGTATACTCCCTTAAGATGATGAATGTTGGTAAAATAAGATCCTATTTCCTGATGACTGTCAGATTGGTGTGTTAAGAAATTCTCTGTTCAGATAATCTTGTATAACTTTTCGAATGGAGGAATACCCATTTTCTTATTGAATGATATTTGGATATAAATAAGAAATTTTAAGGATAGCAAATATTGTAAGCATATGTAAGCAAACTTCATTTATGACAGTTAAGTTCATGAAAATATGAAAGTTCTAATGAGTTCCTTTCTTCATCCTCCCATTTTTTAAAATAATCTAATAATATTTGTCAAATTTGTTTATATTTTTTAATTATTTTTTTTAATATTTCAGAACTTTCGGATCATTGTGTGTATTTTCCCTAATGCATATAAAGGGAGCTTTAATTTAAGTTCATGATATTTTATAAATTAAGTAATGGATTTTTATCAAAATAAAGGATATAAGTATTTTTTTACCAACTTGACCCGTGTAAATAATTCATGCAAAAATTCTCCAGTCATTCTAATAGAGTATATTCATATGTAGTCATTCTAATTTATTCTATATCTTTTGATGTTATTAAATTCTTCCTTCTTTATTTTATTCCCCTATATTCTTGAAGAAAGATTTGCAAGGTTTTATTGCATAATTAAAGAGGAAAGTTTTTTTGCTTTTGGACTAATATACAGCATGAATATACAACATGAAATAATATACAGTATAAAATTCTTTCCGTGGGCTTTATTTTTACAACTATTGCTTGTAGACTTTTGGTAAAATGCCATATGTCTGGGGAAATCCAAAGTGTTCTTTTTCATTACTGAGAAACCCTCACAGTCCATTCTGATTCATTGTGCAAGGTGGAAAAAATTTAAACAGAAAAAAGTGCTGAGCAGAGAAATAATGGTTAAATTAGAAAAGCATAAATCAGTCCAGGACCAGCACTAGACATTTTGCCACCCTGTGCAAACTCTGTGACTCCAAAATTCTGCTGCCTAGTACATCTGTAGCAGTTGCCTCTGATGCTGGCTCTGGATCCATGTGTACTCAAACCACATATGGTGCATATATATATGAGTTGCCTATTTTCCATGATACTTGAAAAGTATGTCAAAAAATGTGGCAATATTGAATGCTGAAACTTCCCAGTTTCAGCATTCAGTATTGCCACATTTTTATTCAGATAATCCGAAAATATCTTTTAATTTGCAAGGTATCTGTGAATATTATTTATGTGTTGTAAGCAGGGCTGTGGAGTCGGAATTGGAGTCAGGCAGATTTTGGGGTAAAAGGAGTCAGAGCTGGAGTCGCTAAAAACAGGTCGACTCCGCCTTCGACTCCAGTTTTTGTTGGACAGTTTGAATTTCAAATGAAATTAAAATGAATTGAAAAAAATTAATGACAAGCTGAGTTACTATTTTTATTTATTGACTATATACATTAGTAAATAGTTATTTTCTATTTTTTGACATATTAATAAATAAATATAAGGAAGGAGGATGGCTGTGATATTTGCCATTAGTGATTAAACTGATTCATTTAGTTACTTCATTTAGATACAAATCTCACTCATAAATGTAGGCAAGCAGCAATAGCAGCAAGAACTTCCAAAATTGATGCCATTCTTAGGAAGCAAGCAGGATAAGGAGCAATTATTGATCAAGCAACGTGATAAGGAAGTGCATATTTGATGATAAAGAGATTTTTAGAATTAAGAACTTTTTTTCGAAAATGTAGATAACCCTAATGTTTCACTAAAAGAAAGACTGTGGTATAATCTTGAAGAATTGGAAGCTCTTCTTTCTACACCATATATAGCCACAAAAAAGCTGCAATCTGAAGAATTGACAGGATGCAAGAATGGAAGAATGGGATGTTTGTTCTTTCTGAAATTGAGGGTTTATTGCAGAAGGAATCATTTCTTTAATGAAGAAAAGAGAAACTAGTTTGCTAGACAAAGAGATCTTGCTGGGTTCAATATATGCAGATCCGAAACACCAAATTTTCTTGGATGACAAACAAATTAAAAAGGCAAAGAAAGCCATCTATGAACTTTCATTAAGAATGAAATTATTCTTAGAACAATTGGAAAATTCGAATCAGGACAGTCAATTTGCAGACATTGCAACTGAGTCTCTATCATCCTTTTCCAGTGATTAATTAGATTTTGAGAAATATTTTTCGATAATATTGAAAAGGCTAAGGCAAAGTGAATGAAAATAAAGAGCCAAGAACCTTTAGATATAAAAATGAAAAAAATGCAAACAAGATTTCTACATGGCCTTTGAAGAAGTAGAGAAATATGATTGTGCTTGCAAGACACCTCTTTTAGAACTTATAAAAATCTATCCTGAAAAGTTAAAAGAAGTAGCCCTAACAGTAAGAGCTCTTCCTCCTTCTCAAGTTATTGTGGAAAGACTCTTCTCAGCTCTGAAGTTTATCAAATTGGATCTATGGCCCTCCAATAAAGAAGATTTATACTACTGTTTCTTAGAAATAACTAATGCCAGTTTTTCCATTTCATAATGAATGCTAATTAATATAAATATTCTAATTTGCTATGCCATCAATTTTTTTCCCCTGTAGCATCTATTACTTCTTCCATATTAAAAAAAATAAGCTGTAACCCATGTGTATATGTTTACATATATATATAGATAGATATAGATATATATATATGTGTAGGAGTCAATTTGGAGTCAGAGTCTTTAAAATTCCAGGAGTCAGAGTCGGTCATTTTCCATACTGACTCCACAGCCCTGGTTGCAAGACTCAGTTCTATATCTTCCAACTTTTATGCAGCATGCACAATCTATTACTTTACATTTTTGCCAGTGAATATTAGTTTTTTTATATTCAAGATTTTATGTGTTATCATTTTTATAGTATTAAAAGAATAATCAAATTATTATTATTATTATTATTTTTATTTTATGACTTTGAAGGAAAGATGCACATGAAATTTTTCATTACAGCTTTAGATTAAAGTCTTTCAAGATATAATCACTGTTTAACTCCATGCCTGAAAACAAGTCGCAGTTGAGTGCTTTGACAAAGAAGCAATATATAATAAAAATATTAAATTACTAAATTTGATTTAAATAGAAATACACATCTTTGGAATTCTGAAGCTATTTTTCATCAGTGCTGTAATGGAAAATATATAAAAGACAAGATTTGTGTTATGATGCATTAGTAATAGGTCCACCAGCAGCAAAGTAGTAGAATCGCTGAACACTGGTAGTTCAGTCAAGGTTCGAATTCTGTAAATGGGCTGGCTGCACGGGCATTTTCATGTAATAAGTATGCGAGCCAGTTTCCCTTAGAAAGCCCTCCACGAAGGCATACCTTCTCTTAGGCAGATAGCCTTTGAGGCTTTGCCATAATTACATAAACCAAACCAAAAAAACATTAGTAATCATAAAATTTTACTTGATTCACCATTTTTTCAAGTAACTATTTATTTTCCATAATTTATATTTTACAGTTTTTGTATTAATTTTGCTTACTTATTTGATAACATTATATATATTTTCTTCCTGAAATATATAAAAGTTAATGATTTTTAGTAATTTTGATTTACTTGCAATCAGCTGTAAATGCAACAAGTTACACCTGCTGCATTTTGTTGCCTTATGTATTTTTGTCAAAAATTTGATTTCGTGTTAATTATGTAATACAGTGAGTGTTTCCCCTTTCTTTCATCATCATTTATCTCTTTATTTCAGACATTTTTTAAAACATTACCTGGTCCCAAAGTGCTAAGATTAGAACTAGGTGGGGCGATAGGCACAATGAAAGACAAAATATTTGTGTCTTCTGGCGGTGAAGTCAGAGGATACACAAGGAAAGGAAAACAGTTTTTACGATTTGATACAAATATGACTGAAGCTATCAGATCTATGTGAGTTTATATTATTTAAGAATGAGTTTTTTCTTATTATGTTTTTTTACCTAAAAGTGTTTTTATTATTTTCATTACTACCTAAAGGTGTTTCCATTATTTTCATTACTGCCTCTTAACTGCAAAGATATGAATATCTCAAGTATTCTGTCACACTCTGTAGAACTAAAAATCATAATTTTACAATTGTTTGTTATTTATCAGTTTGTTTATTAATAAATTAAAGAAAAAGTAAGATGACATATCTATGTTAGACTGTACCTTTGCATTTTGAGTTTTGATTTAAAAAAATTGATACTGTTAATTTAATTGTTTATGAAAATTTTTAAGCTCTCAATTCTGTGAGCAGTTTACAAGAATATAAATCAAAATAGGAATCTCATATTAATTTCATTGTGAATATTTATCTATCTCTATTATTTATTATCATTTTCAATTTACTATTAATTTTTAGTACTCTTTGATTTTGTTATTTCTTAAAATAGAATTGTGTTCATTTGTTAGCTTAAAGTACAGTGGAATTTGATTTATATGTCTGTCTTGAAGCTAATGTCATATGGATAACAGAATGGAGAGATAATAAGACACTCTTCCCACCACCAGATATGTGCAATTAATAATAAAGATTTGTTTTTATTCTAGTATGGCTTCATATCAAAATTAGAATTCAAAATTGGTGATATTATAGCTCTGTAGCATACTCACTAGTATATAAAATAAAAATATAACACTTAAAATAAGTTCAACCTCTGTTTACATCTTGGTAAGAATCAAATGTGTTTAATATGACTTTTCTTGAACTACTTTAGCACATCTCATTTCTTTTGTTATGCATAAGAAAAACTTTCTCTGTATCATGTACTGGTATGTGAAGATTTACAAACTGATGGAAATATATTTTTTTCATATTTTAGAGCAGTATAATACTGCATTTTTTAAAATAATATTTTAGATATAGTGGCCAGAAACAGTTATAAACCATTTTAAATAATAATATATATATGGGGATATTTTTTGCACTTATTCTTTATTTTTTATTGGATATGTTTGATGTTTTGCACATCTGATGGCTGATGAATTTTAAAAGTAACCTGAGAGGTAGAAAATGATGAATAATCAAGTTTGTGCTATATATTCTTTTTAAAGAAGTAATTCATTTTCTTGTGTGTGTGGTTTTTTTTGGGGGGGGATTGTTTGGGAAGCAAAGTTACATAAAAAATTCAAATACATTATCATAATTAGCAACAATTCACTTTTAAAAGTTCAGATTTTAATCAAGTGGTTTTTGAAGAAAGAAAGAAATGTTTTTTTTTTTTTTTTTAAATACCACCAGAACGGTTTGTTATATTTTTTTATTACCTGAACTACAAATAAAAGTCTTTGTTAATAGAAAGCAAATATAATATCATTGTTATTGCTATAAGATATAGGATAAAAAGTGCTCACTTTGAAATTAAGGTCATTTAAAATAATAATGATAATATTTAACTTCCTCCAAAATGTAGGAAGTAGTCTCTTTAAAAAGTTTTGCATGTGACCTGTTGCAATAATGATGATGATATATTGTTCTTTTAAGCATATTTAGAACAAATACATATACTATATATTTCGACATATGATGCACACATATAGTTTCAAACTACATTTTTTAGTTTTTGAAGCCTTTCATTTGAAGATTTTCCCCAGGCTTTCGAACAGTGGTATACTGAATTGGCAAAGCAATAAGGGGAACAATATGTGTGTGGGAGGGGGGATACTTGAGGGATAAATAATTCTGTGGAGATGTGCATTGTATTCAATGCAAGTGTGCACAAGAATGTTATTCTAGTGTTTCGAGAAAAGGAGGACATTATTTGAACTAATAATGCACTTCCAATTAAATGAATGCATGGAATTAGCACTTAGATGTTTTCTCTGCTATTCTGTGGTCATATGAATCCATGATTTTAAAGTGAACATCTAAGAGAAGGAAGGAAAAGGAGGCCAAATGCATCATGCCAGTCTAGAAAGAGTGTGAGTGGATAATAAAGGCATAGAATAAAATTAAATTCAGTATAATTCAAAAGTCATTAAAATGTAGCATATCTAACAATCTTGATGGAACAGAAGATGATTAATGACAAATATGACAAACTTTTTATGTTTATCAGATAAAGAAATTTTTTAAATTCATAAAAAACATCATTTCTTTTAAATAAATAGCATTTGGGTACTAATTTTTGAATCTCATCTTTTGCTTATTTTTAAATATATCATTTTTATATCCAACGTATAACGTGCACCCATAAATTTCAAGCTTATATTTTGTATTAAAAGTGTGCATTATATGTCAGACTATATGGTACATAATACATATATTATAATTATTTCTTGTAACTTAATAAAATGCTAAAATAACAAGAGTTGAAATGCTTTTTGAAGAATATGTCTGTTAATCATTACTTTTTTGGTTAAAATTTCAAATTTCCAGCACATTTTTTTATTTTCTTTGTTATGGGAAAAAAACCAAGAGGTTTTTATTGCAAAATGTATCATGAATGTAGTAAAATTCATTTTCTTATTATAATTATTTTCTTCCCATTTTAGGCATATTAGTGGAAATGACCTATTTGTTTGTGGAAATTTCATTTTCAATCATTATTATGAGTGTCAAGATCAAAATTATTATATGTCTACTGATCATATAAATGATATCATTTGCTTGGATATGGATAAAGTTGGAACCATTGTTCCTATTCTGGCATGCCAAGACCGAGTTCTACGTGTTATTAAAGTAAGTGTGTTTACAAAAAAGAAAAAAAAAAGTGTTGTATTTTGTGATATAATTATAATATTAATTATATTATATAAAACTTTTAATTAAAACCTCAAAAATTTTATTTAATATTTATCAAAATTTATTTTCTTAGCAAATCTGCAGGGTATATCCCACCATACTATTTAATATTATAGCTGAATTCAGCTACTGATATCATTAAAGGTTATCAGCAATTGCATAACAATTAGTTAAATCAGTTTTAAAGGTATTGTAGTCGAGTCCTGCCATAGCAAACTCAGTTTATAATGAACGCTTGGATATAATGAAATTTTTGGCCCCATCCAGTTTTTTATATACTTAATATTATTTTGTATAGTTATAATAAACCTCCAAATGTGAAAATCATATGTAACAAATATCAGATATAGCTTCAATAAATATTTTTTTTTAATATTTTATATAATTTTTTGCAGAATTTTTCCAAGTTTTAACTGAAAATTACCAGTCCTTAAAATAATCCATTTTAGGCCATTAGCAAAGTGAAAAACACATTTATTCCTTTTTAATCCTTTGTCTTCTAAATAGGAGGTTTTACATTCTTTAGATGCTTTCTTGTAAAACTATGATATTCATTTAGCTTAAGATAATTAGCATATTCTTTATCAGGGCAACATATCCTTTCCTTTGCAGCTGTACATATCTTGGGGAAAATGAACATGTTTTCATTGGACATAAGTGAGGAATTTATCTTCCTTTCTCAACTTCTCCTGATGGGCAGAACTTTACATAGTCTCTGACCTAATTCTGTTCACTCTATATTGGTTAAAACTTTTTGAATATAAAAATTCATCCATATAGTGAGCTGTAAATATATTCTGCATTAAAGGTAAGATGAGCAGTATTTGAGAAATGAAAAATGTGTATAGCTAAAATTGTTATTAACTAAGTTTATCAAACTGGAGTTAGTACTAGTTCGAAAAACTGAGAAAAAAATAATTCCTTTCACAGACAAAATTTTTGGTATGAAGAGAAAGTGAGAAAGGTTGATTTTACAGATGTAGAAAACACATTGCTGAATTTATTGCTTTTATAAATGGTTTATTACCATTCATAGAATGAGGAAATCTCTAATATGGAAAAAATTACTTCAGACAAAAGCCAAAAAATTTCTGAAACACTTTGGGCAGACTGTGTGCACAATAGCTAATTAGATAGGTTCAAGAAGCAGAACAACTTCTCTTCAAGAAAAATTGCAAGAAAATTGGAGAGTATTATAAAATTTGATGTTGTCCAATGGAAAATGAAAAGATTATTTGAAATAGTGCACTGTGCATTACAAAGAAAAAGACATATTCAGCACCAGCAAAGCTGGGTTCTTTCACAAGATAGTGCCAAAACAAATGTTAAAATTTAAAGACCAAAGATGCACTGGCAAAAAAATTGTCAAAAATTCAAAGTTATTTTCTGTGCCAACTTAAATTCCACTCAGCATTGTATTCTTTTGGTGAATGGAAAATCCTAAAATGCAAGTTTATTAAAAAATAAGAAAATTCTTCCAGTGGATTGGATATAATAAACTATTAGATATAGTGAACCAAATGTTTAGTCCCTTGGAGATTGTTATAGCAGGGTTTGAATCAATATTGTTGTTATTTGTAATTTTATAGATTTCTGGTACTGGGGATTTAAGTAATAATGTTTAATAATTATATGCTTTCTAGGAGTCCAGTTGCTTGTATGAAGTAGAGGTATCAGGTCCTCCTTCTACATTAGCTCTATACCAAAATAATGGAGGTAGTTATTTTGAATTTTATTTCTTTATTTTCTGCTATATTTTATGCTTCTCATATACTGACCACTATTCAAAGATAGTGCAACAGTCTGAGAAAAGGATCTGTTAAATGAGTATTAGCATATTTTAATAAATTTATACAAATTTACTTAGGCTATTTAAGATTTTCTGCATTTATAAAACTATATTTTAACTGTTATAATTAAGGTACTCTTTGAGTTCACGATTCTGCTGATTGTAAACTAATCTATAGATATAGGCAAAGTGTGTAATTTAGTAGGTTTCCTCATGGTTTAGCTTAATTGATACCAACTCAGCTGTTGTTGCTCTCATATCAGCTTTATAGTTCTCATTGCATTAACAATTTTAGAGCCATTGGTCACAGTTTATCATCTTGAAAGGAAACAAAGCCAGGAATTATGTTTGATATAAGTGCAGCTAATGCTAATCCAACTTTAATTTTGAAGATACTTATCAGCATCAGTTTTAAATAAAGATAACATAATGGAAAAGTAATTTTGTTTTAGAAACTTTGCAGAATTTTGTATAGATGAAAAATAACAGTACTTTTAAAATAAGATTCTTCAAATCTGAATTTATTTACACAAAGTAGAACACGCGAAGTATAACTTTTGTTTAATGTTTTAATTTTTGTTCAATCATGTGAAGGTATCTTGTTTACCTCTATATATGGTGCGATGTTTGAAAGAATTATTTTCAGAATTAGATAGTATCATCTAGTCTAGGAAAGATTATTTTACCAAGATTTATTGTTATGAATTATATAGTTAATATAAAATTTATTTAATATGTTGTTACTAGGTTAAAGGTATTTTCAAATCGAAGGATTACTGCTGTACTTTGAATCACTACTGATAGTTTTACTATCCTTCCTTAAATATATTATTTGCTTAATTTATTAAATACTGCATATTACTTATAATGCAGTGAGAATTTGTTTAGAAGTTTTGATTTTGTATTGTCATTCCGTAAAATGTTGAGTGCATAGGGTATTTTGTAAAAAGCTCTAAAATGTGCTAGTAACTTTAATTGCTTTATTAAATGTTTTCAAAGGATTGTTGCATGCTTAGGGGTTCGGAATGCACACAGGTCAGAGGATAGGTTGATAAAATTTGTTTCTATCAAAAGAAACACTTAGGAGATCTGGAACTTTCCACAGAAATAATCATGCAATTCTTCACAATATCACAGGGTACAATCAGTAGTTACACTTCAAACTACTATGAACGTTAAACACAACAAAATGTATAGCGCTTCTAAAATGCGAAGCTTTAGAAACTCGCACTGAGCTAAGAGCTGACAAAACAACTGAGAGCAGATGCTCTCTCCAGCTTTATGTAGTTTTTATCCGACTGTTGAGATATTTCTAGTACTTTCTCCTTCTTGAAATTACTGGAAAGCAATATGAGGGTCAAATTATGGTTACGGCTAATGTAGTGATCAATTGCATTTATTCAGTTACAATATCTATTATGGTGATACAGGGACCGAACCAAAATGTTGCGAAATGGTCTCCAAGTTTGGTAACTTTTGGTGATTTCTTGTCAAATTACCATTTACTCAATAATAAATGGACTTGTCCTTGTATTCTTATTTTTCCGGCATAGCTTGTCTCCATTAGATTTTCATTTTACATTATACAGAAGAAATATAGCAATTTCACATACAATTGCAGTAAAATCATTTTCTGTGTACCAAATTCGTAACAATATTAAATCGCTGTTTTGAATTTGGATAAATCTGAGGACAAATAAATTCGAGTGAGGATTCTAAAAGTGATGAGAATTTATGTATTTATTTTTTGTCACATCAAGCTGCTATAAAAGAAAATTTCACAACTAAAATAAGAACTGTTTTTGATGAAACAGCTAAAACTCATGATTCGGTGTCTGTCAATGACTGTATTGAAAAGACACCTAGTTTGATTGAACTCATCCCTACAGTGTTGGACTATTTCTGATGGGGAAGGATAGAAGTTACAGTCTATATCCAGAAGGCTTTCTGACAATTATGCTTATAGGAAAATAATATGAATTTTCTAAGGTTTTTATGGTGGCAAGATGGAAATCCTTTGTCTGAAATTTGTTATAGACATCACCATGTTATAGACATCATCATTTGTTATAGACATCACAATTTTTGCTCCTTCCTGTAAGCCTTTTCTTCTAACTGCTGTAATGACAAACCATTTAGAATTTAGATCAAGAATATGAGAAAGAAGAACTGGCCAAAAAAATCAAAGATTCGATGTACGTTGATAATTGTGTGGCTAGTGTGGATTCTTTTGAGGAGCTTTTCGGTTTTGGATCTCAGAAATTGCCGAGTTGAGTTAAATTTGATCTAAAGGGGTGGAAGCGCACTCATCTATCTTCACACACAGAAAATGATTGCGAAGGAAAAGATGTTCCAGTTTTAGGACTATCTTGGAATTTGCATGATGAAGAAACAATTCTAAAACTAAAAAAAAAAAAAAAAAAAAAAAAAATTCTCTCTTTGGTCCTGTAGGTTTCAGCTGTCCCTTTCTTTACATTAGTATCAAAGTTATTGTTACAAGAATCTGGGAAACTGAAAGTCTCATGGGACTCAGAATTGTCATCAGAGTTCACAAGAAAGTACCAGAAATGGAAAAATAAAACTATCAGAAATCAAAAAGATCAAACTTTCTCAAAGATTTTCAAGTGTAGTACTTTGACACAAAAAACATATTTTGCAATGCATGCCAATCATCATATGCAACATGTATTTTCTTGAGCGCAGAGAAAAAAAGTGCAGTGACTTGTCAACTAGTGAAAGCAAGATTCAAGGTTGCTCCTCTTAAAAAGGCAAGTACACCCCAGTTAGAATTACTTGCTTTCAATATGGGTGCTAGATTAGTCAATACAGCTAGAAAGGACTTGAAATTAGTTAGAAATGTTTTTCTGATCTGATTTAATCGATGCCCTCTACTGGATCAAGAAGAAGGATAATTGAGGCATATTTGTAAATTAAGGTGATAGAAATTAAAAGTTTGACATCAACTTATCAATGGAACTATGTACCTGGAATACAAAGCCCAGCTGATCTTTCATCTCGAGGATCTTCAGCGAAAGAACTAGCTAAAGGAAAAGAGTTGGAAGATCCTATCTGGCTAAAATATTCAAGAGGTGAATTGCCACATTTTGAATTGATGCCAAATGAAAAAAAAACTGTAAATTCAGCAAGGAAGAAGATTATAGTATCCTCTATAAATGAAGCAAAAACAGGTTTCTTCTATCAAGTAACTTCATACAAGAAGATAATTAGAATTACAGCATGGATTTACAGGTTCTTCAAGAGTGCTAGAGGACAGAGAAAAGCCAAAGGCCATTAATGTTGGGTGAAACTTATAAAACAGAAAAGATTTTTTTAAAGAAAGTCCAAGAAGACTTTTTCACTCAGAAAAGATGGCAAAAGATCTCTGTCAACAATTACAGATTCAGAAGGATTATTAAGAGTGAAGACAAAGGTTTTTATGCAAAGAGATGAAGAAAACTGTAGATTTCTTCTAGTCTTACCTTCTGCTCACCACATTGTTAAAAGCTTAATTATGTGGAAAGACCAAGAACTGGGACATGCTGATGTACAGTATTAAATGTCTGCATTACAAGAAGATCATTGGATACTGAAGAGTAGGAAAACAGTTGAGAAAATCATGTAAAGGTATAATGCAAAACTTGTGAAGGTATCAGCAGGATTTTTACCAAAAGATAGTGTTTGAGAAGCTTTATTTTTTGAAGTTATATTAGTTTTTTGTCTCCTGCATTTGAGAAATGGATCAAAGATGAACAGTACTTTTACTTATACCATTTATCAAACTGTTCATATTAAACTAGTAACACCATTGTCTACGGATAGTTTCGTTCTAAATTTGAGAAGATATACTTCGAGAAGAGATCACCCTGGCGTTATCTATTCTGACAGTGGAACAAATTTAGTGGGTGCGGCTAATGAGCTAAGATCAGTTGACTGGTCCAGATTGCAGGAATTCACATTCAAGAGAATTATCTGGAAATTCAATCCACCATCAGCGCTTGTTTGGGTTGTCTTTTGGGAGAGTCTGATAGACATGTTAAAAAATATGTTAAGGCATATTTTAGAAAATGCTCGTCTAGATTATGAAGACCTATACACAGTGCTCTGGCATGCTGAAAATATCATGAATAATAGACCTTTGACTGACATGTCTGAAGATAGCTAGTGAAAGCAATATTCAAGGTTGCTCCTCTTAAAAAGGCAAGTGCACCCCAGTTAGAATTACTTGCTTCCAATATGGGTGCTAGATTAGTCAATACAGCTAGAAAGGACTTGAAATTAGTTAGAAATGTTTTTCTGATCTGATTTAATAGATGCCCTCTACTGGATCAAGAAGAAGGATTTTGTTTTTGCAAGAAATAAAAGAAGTGGGATTTTTAGATTTAGACCTAATCGATTCAAGCAAGGCTAATAACCATTATGCTCATAGACAAAAGAATTAGAGAATAGTTTAGAAAACGATTTAGAACTGAATATTTGGGACAGTTGAGAGAACATAACAAGGCCACAAAAGAATAGAATTTAGAATGCTGCAGAAGGGGATGTTGTCCTTCTTGGAAATGACAACATGAAAATAAAAATTGTTGCTAAGCCAAAGTGATTAAACTGTATCCTAGTAAAGACAGAAAAGTACTTGTGGCAGAAATCAAGACCAAACATGGGACTTATTTGAGACCTGTCCAGAACTTATATCAGTCAGAAGACAAAAACAATGTCAAACTGTTAAAGAAAAATGATCCCGATGTAGTGACTTGTTATTGTAGTTCAACTCCTTATGCAAGTGCTCCTGAACGTCTTAAAAATGATGAGGTTGTCATTCAGAAATCGCGATTTGGATGTCCCTTGAAAAAGCGACAGTGAATGAACCTGTGACTTTGAAAATTGTTGAGCTTCAGTTATAAATCGCTGAATTTCAAAAGGGGGAGAATATCATGAATATTCTCTTACCTCTGGAACTATGTTTAGAAGTCTTAAGTTTTTATTTCGAATTGCAGCCACGTAGAATTTTGATTACATAGTGTATTTTGTAAAAAGCTGTAAAATGTGCTTGTAACTTTAGCTGCTTTATTAAATGTTTTCAAAATATGAAATCACTGTTGTGAATTTGGATAAATCTTAGATTTTAGCCATTTAGAAAAAGCTATTTCACCACTCACAAATCCAGTTACTGGAAACGGAAGTAAGAAAGTTCAAAGTGGGTATTCTTCCTTCATTTCTTTACTGAAAATTTTTTGGAAAAAAATGTTAATCTAAATCCTAATGTGGTTATGGAACAAGAGAGAATTTGATAGTGCTTATATTCATGTCATTGCATTTGCTAACATAATATATATACAAATACTCTGCAGGCCAACAATTAAACATGTAGTTGATGATTTTGTATATGAGTCAGAAGTGTTAAGAGTATGCTATAGCATCTTCTCTCTCTCTCCCTTTTTTATTTTATTTTTTTAATTTATGACTTTGTTACTTCTAGTTTTGATAGTGGTGACAACCATTCAGATTCTTTGCCAGCTTTACTCTTAAATCATACAGTGTAAAATTTATAATGCTCATAATATTACAGTAATTTATAATTATCATGAGTTTTGTATTATGTGACTATGTAATATCAATTTAAATAATTAATCATAAAATGATGAAGATGGAACAAAATGAATACTCATATTTTAGTCAGGCAATGAAACTTTTTAAAATTTATACATTTCTAATATTATTTCTTTTAAATAGGTGAAAATGGTGAAGAATTATTATATGGAACTAACGATGGCAAAATTGGGCTTGTTTCAATTGGAAGGTATTTATGCTTTTATTATATTCTTCAGACATTACAATTATTATCTTTTATTATGTGAGTCATTTTTGAAAAGTAAAGATACATCGCCTCATACTCAATCAAAAACTTTTAATTCATAAAAAAACCTATTACAAATTATTTAATGGAAAGTGCCTTATTTTTTCACATAGTTGCCACCACTGTCCAAACATTTGTCTGGATGCAAGCCTTTGTATCCCACAGTCATAGAATTTTACCATTTATTTTCAAAACCACATTTCAACCTGAATTTTGATCTCATCACCGTCATACATGATGGTGATGAGAAAAGGAGTAAATGAAAGATGGTGATGAGAGTAATGGAGTAAATGGATTACTCCCTTCAAGTAAAGGAGTAATTGGAAGTTGCTGGGGGCAAGGTTTAGGTTGTATGGCAGATGCTCTAAAACTTTCTGCTTGAAACTTTTAAGTGATGCTTTTGTTTGAAGTACTGTGTGAGGATGAGCATTGTCATAAAGCAAAAAGCCTCTGTTTGCCAACATGTCTCTTGTTTTGAACTGCCTGTGTAAGGTGTCTGAAAGTCCCACAGTATGCATCAGCATTGATTATAGTGCAAGCAGGCATGAAATTAATCAGAAGAATATCTTGTGTGTTTCAGAAAATAGAGGCCCTTTTTTTTTTTAATACCAAAATCTAAGTTTTGAATTTTTTAATTATTGGGGAATTCATTTGGTGCCATTGGTGTATGGCGTATGGTAATAAATTCACATCCGGTCACCAGTCACAATGTGATATAGGAACTCATCACCTGCTTCTGCATAATATCTGAAGGAGATGAGTTCAAAACCATTCATTTTTGTGTATGTGTTCTTTCATTAACTATCTCAGAGTCCATCATGCAAGCAATTTTCTGTGGCATAAAGTCGCAGTCATTAATGAATTGTCACAAAACACTTCCAGAATAATTTCATTCAATTCTTTCTGTATGAGACACTGTTTGCTTGAACTGTTTCTATTCTTTGAAGAAGGGCATCAAAGACCATCGATGGCTAACCTGTTCTATTCATCATGAACATCGATCCTGCCTCCTGGGAAAGCATAACACCATTTCATTACATTTTATTGATTCATAATATTCCTATAAACAGAAATGATTTTTTTGTAAATATCTGCTAAATGCCCACCCTTTTCTTGAAGAAAGCATATGATGGAATGCACTTCACATTTGACAGGGTTCCGAATTGACTTAGCCAAGTACACATGTACTACTCAAACCATTCTCAGCATTGAAATAACAAATGGCCATAAGGGGAAAGCAAAAAGCTTTAAAAGCAGTCAGTGTTTTCATGCATTAATCAAAATGTTTTCTTTCGTGCTATCTGTGTATCTTTTACTCAATCAAATTTACATAAACTGGAAGAAGTGACTATAATGAAAGAATTTCAAACTCTAGTAGGTTACATGTATTCCTTTTACACTGTAACAAATTTTGGAGATAAGACTTTTACAGCAAATGCTATTCCTTTTTATTTTTCATTTTAGATAAATTAAGCATTCTGAAAAAATATTTATTACTTCTAAGTGTATCACCAGTGTGTAATTGCCACTCAGTGTATAATTGCCTTTCTTACTACCTTGCATCTGTGTGTGTGAAATTAAACCTCCCTGCGAGTGTGCCAAGATTAATGCTATCTACCACATACACAAAGCATTTCCACTCTACAACTGCTATGTAATTTGAAGTTTTCTTGGTACAATCTATCCCTCTTCCAAATCTTGTACTTTCAACATAAATACAAAATACAAATAAGTACAAATTTGAACATACATTAAAATTGAAATAAAAACAAACAGACAAAAAATGCACTTTAATAAAGATTATTCATTCATAATTTTATTATTTAAGTAATTTATAATTTATTTTTATTGGGTTCATTTTTGTTTCAGTTTTGATGTATGTACTTCCTATTAGATGGTTAATCACCAGTTTTGATTTAATTATTATATCTTGATTATTTAATTAATTTTCAGCATGCTGCATGACTTTAATAATTTATAATCTTAACTTCTTTTGATTCTTGAAATTTATACTTTTGTTTACATAAATATATATCAGTAAAGACATAAAGTAAGAAATTTAGAAACAATTTTTCACAAAGACCAGAAACTGAAATTCATGAGTAATTAATTTGAAATGATCCTATGAATGCAAAAAGAATTTAATAAATGTTAAGACCAAAACACTTCAAACAAGCAATCCCCCCCCCCAATTAAAGAAATTCAATGAAATATAAAGAAAAAAAGAACATAATAGAAGAGGCATTCGATCAACTTCAATGCCATTTCATCTAGAGGAGGGACATTAAAATCAGTTCAAATTTCTCTTCCACAAAAATCCTTGCTTTTCTATATCTAGAATTAGCTGATAAACCATTTGAATCTATTTTAATAGTTAACCCAAAAATTCTGGCCTCTCCCCAAAGCAAGGCAGGGGGGGAAAAGAAATATCTAATTCATATTTTTTACCTTATATATATACAAATTACAAAACCATTCAAAACTTTTTGCTGTGCATTTATCTTTTTAAAATATTATTCTGAAAATTAAATTAGCTAAAAAATAATTTTTTTGTTATTATCATTAATGATACATTACAAATAATTCATTTTTGTATCTTAAGTTGCAAAAAATTTTAGTTGATGGTAATTATATTTTGAATGAATGCATTAAAAATTGATGATGTTTCTGAAAATTTATAATTTTTACTTTTTTATTATAGGGCCGCTTCTAGCCATAAATGGGAAATTCCTAACAACAAGAAGAATGGAGGTAATTGTTACACAATATTAAATATTTGTTTAATGCTCATATACATTTTCTCAGTACTGGTGTTTAATATTCAGTGACCAGATAAAAGCCCACTGAACTATAGTGTTTAATGCTCATATACATTTTCTCAGTACTGGTGTTTAATATTCAGTGACCAGATAAAAGCCCACTGAACTATAGCGCATAAAAAGCTCACACACAAACACACACACACACACACACACAAAAAAAAAAAAAAAAAAAAACTACAATAATTGCCCACATACCAAGTGCCCACACTGATAAATGTGCACATGGACTATCTGTCCAAAATCCAAAATTGGCCGACAACCGATATTACAACAGCACCTACATTACAATAACAATAGTTTACTAGTTTAGAAAATAATATGATCGATGATAATTTATTTATGTGAAAAAATTGTGCCAATGGGTCAAATTATTTAAACTTACCGGTCCACAAGAATGTACCAAAATATTTTATCGGTCCTTGGAGTAAATCCAATTGAAAAGCACTGATCTAGAATGCCTTGGGAAAGTATATGATAATTCTCATATTTTGTACTTTGCCTGAAAACATCAGACATTCTGTAAAATGCTTAGCTACTCTATAGAGTAGTTTCATATTACTGGTAATATGTACAATAATTTCTAACTCATCAAACTGCTGTATGCATTTATGTACACTGTGCAAAAAAAAAAAAGGGGGGGGACAGTTCTATATCTCATTTTCAACTGGGCCAGTTGACAAAATTTAAATTGCATTTTTCATGTCTTGATTTTATTAATTTAGAAGTCAAATAATAAAAATCAGTATTATATTTGGCAAATTTTCACAGGACTAGTTTCTGTGGTTTTACCAAACCATCAACCTCAGGTGCCAAAGTGCAAGTGAATGAGTGTCTCGTTCATGCCTAAAGTGGCGGCTGTTTGTCTACATTTGAAGCTGTTAGTAGTGCAGTGCATTAAGTCAGCTGGTACATCAACTTCACTGTCTTTTTGCCTAGTAGGACCAGACATTAAATTTTTTGCACTCTGTCTTTCTTGTTTTGGCCTAGAAATTCTAATTGCAAAAATATTTGGTTTTTTTTTTTTTTTTTTTTTTTTTTTTTTTTAATTTTAATAAAGATGTTTTGAGTTATGTACACTCACTTTCAAAAGTTAAGCACAGAGAGGAAAATGCTAATTTCCAGAAGCCAGTCAGAATTGAAGAGGTTGCAATTCGCTGCAGAGGTAGCTGGAACTATGCAAATATGTTAGGTAACAGCCAATCGTGCTTTCATGTCAAGAAATATGCAAAAAAGGCAGTCTTATGAGAAGCCAGCTTTATGAAAGGTTACAGAAGTTGATTGTAAGTGCTGATAGAAGGTGTTTAAAATTTTCGTACAATTTGTTTTCAAGACACACGTGTTTTTATGACTTCCAGAAGACGAATTGAAGATTCTGAGCGCTGGCATGCTGTAGGACGTATTGAAGCAGGACAGTTGATCACAGATGTTGCTCTTTTCGTAGGTATTCATCATTTTGTAATTTCACATTTATGGAAACAATTCCAAACCTCACAGACAGTTGTCCGAAGGTCCATAGCCGGTCGCCCAAGGGTTACAACCCCCGCGGAAGATCGATATATTGCTATTGTAGCCAAGCAGAATCGCAGAGCGACCTCCACACATGTGACATCTATGGTTACAGCGTCCATTGGTAAGGCGATATCTGTAGCTACTGTACGCCCGGGTACCTCGAGTTTGTGTTCCTCTATTCGTCCAATCAAGTGGGACACGGTTACAATGGTGCTGGAAACATGTCAAATGAAATGTTTTTGACTGGGGCAATGTAATTTTTATTGATGAGTAAAGATTTGCTCTGGAGCCAGATGACAAGGATATGGCGTGAACAACAAATACGCAATGAGTCTCAAAACATCACCGAACATCATGCATTCCAAAGCGGAAGCATTATGGTGTGGGCAGGGATTTCATTAGGATACAGCACCGACCTGCACATCTTTAAATGGGGTTCTTTGATGGCTGTCCGGTATCGAGATGAAGTCCTAGAACCCATTGTGAGATTGTACGCTGCAGCAGTTGGCCCTTACTTTTGTTTTAATGGACGATAACGCACATCCCCATAGAGCTGACATCGTCGATGACTACCTGGAGAGTGAAGAGATTGCGCGTATGGCGTGGCCAGCATATTCGCCCGACCTTAATCCCATTGAAAATCTTTGGGATGCTCTCGGCCGTGCTGTATCTTCTCCGTTTCCCACCTCCAGCCACTCTTATTGAGCTGGAAACTGCTCTACAAGAAGAATGGCGATTGCTTAATTCTGTGGTGGTTGACCACCTAATTGAAAGCATGGCCACAAGGTGTAAACTTTGTATACAGATGAGGGGGGGGGGGATCACATACCCTATTAATGTCCTTTTTTTTCATTTTATGCTGTTTATTTTCACTTTATACATAATTCTGTTTAAGTCTCCAGTATGTCATTATCTGATAACTTACAAAAATTTAATTTAATATTGTTTTCATTTCTGTATATAATTATTGATTTCGTTTTATGCATAAATATATGGGCTACTTTCCTGCCGAATTTTTTGTCAATCAAAGCGGTATTTGTTGATTTTTTTGCATTTTACATCTTCGTGCTTAACTTTTGGAAGTGAGTGTATTTTTATTTTGTAGCGAAGTAAGAACTGAAATCATTAAATAAGAAATATATCTCTAAGGAATTCCAGGAAATAAGTCTAAGTGAAATGCAGCAAAGAATGTGTGTATAATTTGTACGGCATACAAGGAAGTCAGCAGATTTTTTTTTTAATATTGACAAATATTTCATGTTAAAAGTGTTGCAGTTTTACGTAAAAGGTATACATGAAGCAGCTGAGAAAATTAATAATATAAAAGGAGAGATAAATTTTTTATATGTCTTTATAAGCAAGTACATTGGATGCAAGTACAAATGCATAAACAAATGTATTTATTTCATGCAAAAAGGATTTGGTATAAAAGAATTGTTTTCTTACATGATAATTTTAAAACAAAATAGTATAAAATGCTGAAACATAAATACCATGATTTAAAGTGCTTTCATGCTAAACCATGTAGTTATAATTAATGGTCATTAAAATTATGCTCCCAGGTATACTGTGCCTTGATAATTATGACATAACTGATGATGGAGTTAAAGATTTGATAGTTGGTCGGAGTGATGGCCTAATTGAAGTCTTTGGATATGATGAAGCTGAAAATCCTCTGCCTAGATTTACATATGTAAGGCTATATTTTAAACTATATTTTTCCATTTGTTATTTTTTATTGATGTGATTAATACATATTGCAATTTTTATCCATTTTATGGTTCATTATTAATAATAAATATATTTTTTTTAGGATTCATTGCTTAAATGTTTGTTTTAAGATTACAAACAATTTTACATGCTATGTAAAACAAAAGAAAAATACTGATATTGTAAACAATTTATTAGCCACAATGTTTCCTTTTTTACATCTTTTATTACTTTTTAATTCTATCTATATTTATCTTATTTTTTTAAATATTTGTATAATATTATCCCACTCAAACAGAATTTTTTGTAAATTCAGGTAATTGAAAAAATGGTCAGGAAAAATGAAAACTTTGTTTCAAATTGTCAGGGGAAATCAGAACTTTTCCCAAAAATTTCTGGGAGGTAAAAAGGAGCACAGAAAGTTTATTTTTCCAACAGCAGCTAGTGAACTAAAGCTGCCTCTTTTTAATAGCAGATGAAGAGTTCAAACTGGAAGAGAAACATGCCAATGTAAAACTCGAAATTAAGCAGAACAGCAGCCGTATTTTGGCATAGGTTTTGAACAAAGCTTTATTCATTTCAAGGCTATCACACACAGGTCTCATTTCTTCAAGAAGGCCCTCTTTTTTTCGCTTCTAAAGAGAGATAAACGAGGAGAAAAAGGATAAAAAAGAGGGACCTGTGTATAATCAGTCAAGTTTTTCGTATGGTAAAATATAAAGCATATTTTGCAATAAGAAAAAACATGCAAAGTATATTTTTCAATAAGAAAAAAACACGCAAAGCATATTTTGCAATAAGAAAAAAGACCATTTGTGGGTAAGCATATTTTACCCAAAGGTTAGCCGATGCAGCTTTACCAGTTCTATTTAGAAATAGAACTATTATATCACTCCACATTTTAGATGTGTAATTGCATTCAAAAAACGAATGGCATAATTTTAATTGTCTGTATTATGCTATTTTCTTTCATATGTAGACATTTAATTAAACATTTTCTTCAATTCAGTATAATTCTTAGCTGTTCAGTTTTATTTTTAAACTTAAATTTAAATTATTTAGAATAATATATACAATGAATGGTATACTGTTATATGCATATGCTTTTACAAAATAAACAGTTTTTCCCGTATTTTATAGTTCTTATGGTTAGATACAAATTTTTAACATGTATTTATTTTGTTAACTTTACAACAAGTGAGATAAAAATATATTTTTATAATATTTTTTAGCTATTTCATTATATATATTTAGTAAATGCTTAAAAATAGTATTTTGCATATTTAAATTGGTAATTAGTTCATCTTGTCCACTCAGAGAAATTGTTCACTGTAGTCACAGAAAATCGGAGAAAATTAAAAGTTGAATTTCAAAGGGAATCCTAAAGTAGTAATATTATATTTTTACCCTAAAATTTACTCTAGATGATTATTATTCAAATACTTTTCTTGATTATTTTATGCAATTTTCTTCAGTGTTCTGTTAGGCAATCTCAGATATTCATGAGGTGAATTACAGAATGAATTAGAAAAAAGCATTAATTAAAATCTGATGTGATATTTAAATGTTTCTGATTTCGGAAACACCATTCTATAATAGAATCTTAAAATGATCATAGATACATTTTAAAGTAGTTTTCTATAATGAAAGATCGCATTTGTATTAAGAATTTTTGAACTGGAAAATATATTGCCTTTTATGTATTTCTCTATACATGTGTACTGAAATATGTGTACTGTATATGTGTACTGAAAGACTAAAATGTTTTTATTTTACTTACAAGACCATCAAATAATTTATTATTGATTATAGTAAACTGCTTAACTTGTATTTGATGTAATATTTCCTCATGTATTTGATAAATTATTTTGAATCTTAATAAAGGGAAAAAGATAATCATTAACCTACATGTAACTTTTTGTGTACTGAAAGACTAAAATGTTTTTATTTTACTTACAAGACCATCAAATAATTTATTATTGATTATAGTAAACTGTTTGACTTGTATTTGATGTAATATTTCCTCATGTATTTGATAAATTATTTTGAATCTTAATAAAGGGAAAAAGATATTATTTTTCCAACAGCAGAACTGAAACTATAAATAACCTGAAAATATAATTAGGTTATTTTTCCATTATTCATAAATCCACTAAGTACAGGTGGTCAAAAAATCAGTAAGTATTTCAAAAGTCAAACAAATTGTCTAATTAAAATGATTAGATCCTGATTTAATCACTACTGTACTAATTTTAAAGGTTATGTGCTAATTTCAATTATATAGTGAATTTTGCTTTAAATTTTAAAGTTATGCTGATTATTAATTTTTAAACAGATGCAGAGTTAGTCTACTTAAAGAATCTGTAATGTTTTTAAATTTTTAGCATAAGTATGTTGAAAAATTTATCAAAATATCTAGAAATGTGAAAATTATAAAAATTTACAGTGAAGCCAAAAGCATCCTTCAAATGCATTGTTTTCAAAAACTATAATTTTGGAATCTTTGAACATGATATCTCAAAAAGCAATGGGACATGTTGTGGTACTTATGTATTATTCTGTTAACCATTAAAGTTGTCTACCATTGAACTGGGAAAGTTTTCGGAGATTACTTTGAAGTTACACCAATTGATCCTGCAGAGTTCTGAAAGAACTGAAGCCTATTTATTTAATAAACAATCAGTATTCAACCCGCTTTGTTTTACATTTTGTAAAATAGCTTTCATCAATTTAACATTTTGTTAGATCTTCCAATTTTACCGGAAGCTCTGTTTAGAATACAAGTACAAACCTCAGGTAACAGGTAACTGTTCCAGTCTATCACTATTTTGTTGGCCATGCTAAGCTGACAATATTGTGTCCATTAATACACACACTTTTTTTTAATGCGAAGATCGTATAACTTTGAAACTAACCCATTGCATGTTTCTCTGTTGAAGGCAGATCCCAAATTTTTACCTTTTATTTCTATTCTATATACAAGAAAAAGTGCAGTAGCAGTTAATTTATATCGTTGTTCATAAAAACAAAATGTGGCCTATTGAGAATAAGTCAGGGTTACATCAACTGAAAGTGCAGATGTTATGAATATGCAGATATTATGAATAAGTAGATGTTATGAATATTACTGTCATGGTAATCTGTAACTGGTGCTAAATTGCATTGCTTGGCGACAGTTTCACAGTTGACAGGATAACACATAAGTATCCATGTTTTTCTGTTAACACTTATTCAGTTCATAATAATTACCTATCAATATGCCATTATTTATTTTTTAGCTAATAAAATTTGGAAGTAGGTTAAAAATTCATTCTTTTATTTTTATAGTACTGCTATTTTTCATGCTATTGCTAATCATCCTGTTTAAAAAATGTTTTAAAAAAAACCACCTTGTTTTTTTTCCCTTCACTTGGAAACTTTTATAGTCATGGGTATCTTTTTTATATTTACTTGATCTCATTTTGAAGACTACAACAATTTTATTTCAAAATTTTTAGAATTTAGAGAAGCATCAAGCAACAAAATTAAGGGATGGCAAAACTTTTAAAATTTAGGAAAGGCACTAGGATGCAAAATTTAGGGAAGGCAAAATTTTTAGAATTTAGGGGATGCTTGGCAGCAGAATTTAAGACCTGCAGAGATTGCATCACTTGCAAAATGTCTAGTGCCTGCCCTAAATAAGCCTTAAGTATATGCAGGCATTTATTTATTCAGGACTCAGATAAGCACATGCTAGAAATAGATGCAAGTAATAAACAATTGAACTAATATAATTTAAGTTTAACTTCCTTAGTGTGCAACAGAAACAAGACAAAATTTAGCAAAACAATATGTCTTTGGTCGCCAATCTCTTGATACGTCGGCAGTAGTGTACAGCAGATGCTAAAACTAAACCACAAATTTGAAAGTTTTCAGATATGGCAAACAAATGCAAAATTTTCCAATTAATGGAATTTGAGAAGAAATGTGGAATGTGGTAATAATTGAAAATGATAACAAAAGTTTTTTTGGGGGATGACAGTGGCCTGATAATCATTCAACTAACAGACGATGAAATCTGTAGTAGGGTCCTAAATCCAAAAAATATCACTACCGACAGTGAAGAAAGTGATAGAGAGGTTGTTGAGAATGAAAGAACTTCAAGTGATAATGTAGTGGAAATTCTCGACACAGTAGTTACAGGACTTGAACAATGGAACTTTGTAACTGAAAAATTATGAAACAACAAACAATGCATATTGAACTTTTTTTGTAAATTTTGATTCTCTTAAGCTCATAAATTCTTCATTATTTATTATCTTTATCTTCATTTTTGTTATATAACAACTCAACTATTTCATATTTTTAATATTATAATTTTTGCATGTGTTCTTACTAAATTTAAACTGATGATCTAAAATCTGAAAATTCCCAAATCTGTAATTGCCAAAATCCCAGTGAGTATAGATCATGGACTTTGTATTTTAGTTCGATTTTTTTATTGATAGAGGTTACTGTACCATATTAAAAGTGGTAATCATGGTTAAAATTGTAAAAAAAAGGATTTATTCACAAGCGAAAACCAAATTACACATCATAACGCTGGTTATTTGGTGTATCCGCCAATGAGATGTAAGGTTTCTAACTAAATTCAGTCTTTATTATCTCAAACTAAGAACTCAGTTTCTCGGGCTTACAGAAAATCTCTACTTGGGCTTTACTCGATAACAAAATAAGAAATTAATCTAATGCTAAACTAAACTGAACTGAGCCAAAGCTGTACACAGTTACCTAACATAGTTGACCCTGAATTAAATTAACCAGCGAATATCAGCAAGCATGTACTACAATACAGCCGAGTGTAGTAGCTTTAAACAACGAAGTAGCCTGATGGTAAACAGGCACCACTAAAGACTCCTCAGCTCTTCTGCTGAAATAAGCGATGCCTTTCTTTAAATACTCTTTCTACCTCATTTACATGCAGCACAATACTAAAAACTTGTTCTGGTAGGGAACAGTAAGTGTGAAACGAGAATAGACAGTAATGCATGTTTTAAAATTAAAATAACAGTTAGAAACTTAAAATAACCTCTACAGAGAGAAATTATTTAGTATTGTTTTCAGTGCTGATATAATTTTAATCATTACTGTCAGTATAAAACAATTCCTTTTGTTAGTTTGAATTAAATAAACATTTTCTCCCAGCAAAAAAATATCCTTTTCCTTGCGATAATTTTTGTGTAATCATACTCCATTTTAAATATTTTAAACCTTTAGAATTGTACTATGGATGTACTATATGAATGTATATATATAATTTATCAAGCAAAGCAGTAATCCTATCATGGTCTGCTATATACATTCTGACATATATATAGTCATCCTGAATGGTATGGTGATCAGTGGGGAATTTGCCTGTATGAACTGCAAAAGAGGGTACAAGTTTGATATCCATGTGAAATTTAGCTGTTTGTGTGTGCTGTCTGTCCTCTTTGTTGTGAAATATCCATCATCCCCTGCATAATGTTCTTTATGATAAGATGATTAATTGTCAATGGATTTGGCTATACGTCTGGCTAATGCTTAGGTGGCAGGTGCTAACTGTTAAGAATGTGTGTGTGTACAAATATATTTATCAAGAACATGATGTAAGGACATGTGATGCATGGATATAAATTTAAGATTAGGAAAAAGTAATTTTTTTTAAACTCATTCTTATAATAAAATCTTCATTAACTGCATTTGATCTACAGTTATGCACCAATTCATTGATTTTAGTATCAGAAATTCAGACCAAAAAGAGTTGCCCTCAGCCCCCTCGTTTTTCTTTCTGTCCATACCATACTGTAAGGGGGAAGGACATACAGACACAAGCACAAGGCAAACAGAGAGGTTACCCACCCTACATTTGAATCTCAAAATGCATACCAGTCACACAGCCTGGGCCAATTTGACAGTACTTCCTTATTTAAGAACTTCCTTCAAATTTCTGTATGACAGTGTATTTTATCTACAGAACTAAATACCTTTTCTAAAAATTTGAAGCACTGCTGAAAATGAAACAGTGATGCTTTTAAAGGGCATAATTTAGCAGATATTTAACTTCTGAAATTTCTCTAAGAAAATATTAAAAATAATAAACCTTTCTGTTCTTTAATGGGTATTTTCTGTAAATCTAAAAAAATATCAGTAGTGAGACATTTTTAAACTACAAAATGCATAAAAATTAGCCATTTAGTAGTTTATGATGTTTAAGAAATGTTTTAGTTTTGATCTTTTTAGTTATTAGTAGGAAGGAATTTAGTAACTTCATTATGCTATTAGTATCTATTTTAAGACACAAAAAAATCTTGCTGTTATATTAGAATGAGAGAGCTTTCTGTACAAGTGATTTATAAAAGATCTTTATTTAAATCAGCAAATGAAAATACCTGCAAAATTTTTATGAAGGTGCAGTAGTAAAAGTAATGGAATTTTAAAATAACAATAAATTATAAAAATTTCTTCAAAAATTAAAAGCTGCCACTTAGAGATTTTGATTAGTTTGCTGATACCGCAAATGGCAAAAATTATAAAATTTCTAAATCTAAATAAGAGAAGTAAAAGTAAGCATAGTTATCCATAGATATTTCCTCTTGTTCAAAATCATATGAATTGCAGTTGTATGAAAGTTTTGTATGAAAACCATTAATTAAATTAGAAATCATTAAGATTATAAACAAAACAGTGATTTCTCAGTTTGTTTAAAAAAGCATAATCAGCTAGTGCATAATAGTAAAATGACTTTTTTTAAAAGAATTGAAAAATCGGAAAACAGATAAGTTAAATTATTCAAGCAGAAATGCAAAAGGTCTGATCCCTATACTATTTAGTTTGAATTCATGTGCTTTTTGAATGAAACAAAATTTTCTTCCTTATGTCTAGTTTTCCCCAAATTTTATTTGATAATACTTTAAAGAACATGAATTCTAATTTTGCATTTAATGAAATAAAAAAAAAAAAAAAAACTCTAAATTGTAACAGTTGAATTAATTAAAAAATTTTATGAAGATTTCCACTTGAATCCTCAAACTTGGTGAATTTGAAACTTTTGTCATGTTCATTTCATTATTTTATATGCAGAAGTTTATATTACTGTCATTATATTTTATTTACTGTCATTATTTATTCCATTTCAAGACCACTCTGTGTACAGTACTTCTGTTCAAGAAATAAAATGATAATTTTGAAAATTTTCTAGTTTGCTATTAATTAAAATATTGCAAATTTTTAATTAAACCTTATCTCATAAATGAGTGGATGTTTATCTTGTTAAAAATCTTGGTATAAAATTATTTCTTTTTAGAACTGTGGAGAAAGTGTTACATCAGTTCAGGGAGGTATTGTTGGTACTGCGGGATATGATGAACTTCTAATTACTACATACACTGGTATGAACATATTTCAAACATTACATCACCATAATTATTATATTTGATAAAACATTTTTCTGAATTCAGTAATTTTACTGATTTTAATTTTTTATAAATTTAAAAATAATAATATATATAGTATTTATTATATTTAACTATGAATAGTTAAATATAATTTATTAGTTTGAATTCATTGTTCAGTAGAAGTATTGAGCTCGTATTTAAAAAAAAAGATAATTTTCGGCATTGAACCTGTACTCTGTATTTTTAATAAGTGCTTGATAATTTAAGTTATTTTATTGAGGTGGCATTTATTTTCAGGATGGCTATTTGGACTTTCTTCTGAACCAGCTGACAAGCGTCTTGATCCAAATTATTTGCTCATTTCTGAAGATGCTGCCCAGAAAATCTATAAACTCAGGTATAAATAAAATATATATATATAAAATTGTAAAAATGTAATTTCATAAATTTGTGCCATGCATCTCTCTTTTAAATGGCTCAGAATGTAAGGAATTATAATATCCCTTTCTTGTATGCTTTTGTGGTACATATGGTTGCCATGTCTAATAAGATTTGAAGATCTGTGATTTGTAACCTGGTCTGAGATTTTTTACATTTCTTTCTTCTCAAAGCATAACAGTCAATCAAGATATCTTCAGGTGCACATGTTTTTAATTATCAAGAAGGCTTAAGGTCGTTTCATTCTTTCCTGTTTTATCCCCAGCTCGAAATAGTGTTGTTTAGTCCACCACTCCCATCGATTCTCTCTTTTCCATTTCATTTGCTATTTGAAAAGTCACTTTACAATGAAGTGAACATCTGTTTCCATCAACTAAAACCATTTGATGCTGGTGACCTTTACTATTTCAACCTAACTTAGCTTCTGATTTCCAGTGTTTATTAAATACTTCCTTTAGACAAATTATTCTGAGCAGAATAATGAATTTCAGGCATTTTCATACGATGTGTATCTGAATTTAGTTTTATTTTACCATTTTTTTAATTTCATGTACTTTTAAAAGAATAGAACCATAGTTACACTGCTTTATCTGAGGTAATGGAGTTACTTCCATATGTTGATTAGCTTCGCTATACATGAAGTTCAGATTTTTGAATTTCCTCCAATATGAAGAAAAACTGGTTTTGAAGCAGCACTGGCTCTTCCAGATGTCTCCATTAGCTCGGATAAACTCCATTGTGAATAGCCTTCTAGAGATGTCGCCAATAGAGGATTCACTATAATTATTTTCTAATAGATAATGGAAATAGTAGAATTCATTCATTTTCTTTCTGACTCTTCAGTAGTTACACTAGTTTATACATACACACAAAATAATACTAAATCTTGTATACACAATAAAATAAATGCAAAGAATATTCTTCATTACATTCTTTCAAATTTTCCATCATCAATAATTAAAAAAATTTTTGCTTAACTTACTGCCAAAATTAAATTATTTTGTACTCCAACTATGGGAAGATAAGGCTAATTCATTATGCTAGCGTCTGTACTTTGAAGATTTCATGAATTCAAGTTTAAGGATGCTGTGATGAAACTTAACCCCAAATCTCATGCTAGTGATTATAAATTTGTTGAACTGGAGTAAGTCCTCATGAATTCCTCCTTTTTTCTCTTTTTTTAAATACATTTCTCTGTTTTTATCTATTTTAGAAATGCAAGTATGGTTTCTTTCTTGTAATGCATCATCTTCAAAATTTGCTGATAAAGTTCTATTGCAGTGAGTTTCTTAGAAAATCCAGCTTTTATTGTCTTTTAAAAATTTATTTGTAATGTATATGATCTATCTACCTTCAGGTATTAGAACTGGATAACTACATGTGGGTTCAATCTGTTCAAGCTTCGGTAAACTCTTGATCACGTTTTAAACTGAGATGAATAAAAATATCAAGAGACAAATTCAGAATATTCACATGATTGAAAACAAAAGTACATTTCACGCCTGTGCATCCTTCTGAAATTACTTCACAGCAGTTGGTCTATTGATGAGATTGTTAAGTATAACAAGCCAATTGGCATTTATCACTTAATGGGCCTTCTCTCAACAAGTGAGCCTCTCAACAAAGACCCTCTCAACAACATTTTGAAAAGGAGATGAGCTGAGAAAAATTCTGTCTTTTGTCAGTAGAGGTACTGATAATAGATATGGAGGAGAATTGGTTGAATTTTTGTCACACAGAAGTCAATTTTTTTTTGCTTTTTTTTCTACAATGAATACAAAATTTTCCTAAATATAACTATAGGGGTCAAGAGGAAGGTGTAAAAAGTTAGATTTTTCATTTTTTACAAAATCAGCCATTTTTTGAAAATATGTAAACATAAACTTTGTATCATATAAAACACTTTTTTGATTTGAAATATATGTGTTTGACCAACAGGTGTGAAAATAAAGGCTAGGTAAGGACTTTTGTGGACAACGATATATAATCATTAATTAGAAAACTGATAATAATTGTTATTCTTTTAAATTATGAATATGTAATATTCTTTTTATAAAGGTATTAAATTAAATTCTTACAATATTTTAAATTAAAATTTTAATATTTATATTAAGTAATAAATGTAAAAGAATTTCAAGCATTTTATTCAGGAAAGGTTATTAAAGTTCAGAATATTAATAATTATAATTTTGAATTTATGTTAAACATTTTGAATTAGTTTGAGAATGAGATAATTATGAAACAATTGATAAAGAATTGAGCACAAGTATAGAAAACTATATAAAAATTATATTTTGAATATAGAAAATATTAAAAGTTTTCGTATCGTTAAAATGAATATAAAAATATTAATGATTTATGAAAGTGAGTAATTATAATAAAAGTGAAATATTTGATATGAAGAGAATAGTGGATATGAGAATATGAATATGAGAATTATGAAGTGAAGTGGATAAAATAAACCATTTGAAATTATGTTTAATGAATGATATAATGAATGACTAACTCAATATAAATAATTCTATTCAGCTGGTCGCAGCAGACTCGAATCCCAGAGAAGGCATGGTTGCTTGTAAGCATATAGTGTTTGTGTGGCTAAGAGTAACATTCAGAATATATTGCAAGCTAAAAGTCCTGTTGACAGATTGGTGGGAGACCCTAGGACCACCCTGGGGCACTGACCCTCAAAACTGGGATGGAACTGAACAGTTAGTTCAGTGGGACTGCACCTGTATGACCAATTGTGAAATTCCAATATTCAGCCCACTTTGATCCCCAAATGAAGGGGAAAAATAGAATATGTTTAGGGGAGTATTGGTTCAAAAACAAGAGTAGATTTTACCTCTGAAAAAGTTGTTCCTTTTACTCTCTTATTAAAAAAATGTGAAGGCTACCATTTTTAAGAATGGATGTAATATGTTTTATAGAATTTTTTTAAATTAATAGTATGGAATGTTCGAATGCATTCTCAAAGGACCAGTCACCTTATGCAAGTACTGGATGCCTTTTCAAGCAGCTGCTGAACCAGTGTTTAACCACTGATGCAATAACCCACCAGTTGGTTAAAAAATAGTTATTAGTGTCACCCCTTCATGCAAAGCAAAGACGTATAAAATAAGCAAAGTGAGTTGGTAAATGATAAATAAAATGCCTAAATTCAGATTGAAAGGAAAGTGGTAGACAAATCCAAAATAAGTATTAAAAAAAAAGCGTGTTTGCTTTTTGTGTTAAATTTCACAGTAAAATAAATCCAGCAGTATCTACTGTATAAATTAGCAAATGAAAACTATGAGCAAAAAATGAACAAACAAATTAGCTACGGAAAAAAATAAAAAGATGATCTAGATCTATTTTTGTGGAAGAAAAGTTATATATTAAAATCTCATACTTATCTGATTGTTTTTTTATTTGTAGAAGTATAGAGAGATGAATAAGAAAATGTAGTACACATTAAAAAGTCAAGTCAATCTAAAAAGTCAAGTCAATCTAAAAAGTCAAACTATTTGTAATGTTGCATTATGCATTGAGCAAGAATTTAGTATTGAGAGATTTAGTACTAAATTAATGAAAAGATTTAAATTAAGGCTTACCTTTGTTAAATATTGCAAAGGGTTATTTATTTATTTTTTATGTCAGGCTCTTTATGTTCATATAATTCATAGAGAAAAACACAAAACATCAACTGCTTAACCTCTATTTGATCATAACTTTGGAGAATTTACACAAATTTTCCTTATTAAATAAAAGGAAAATTGTATGTATTTATTTACTAAAATTTTTGATTGATTAGTTAATTAATGTTTCAGGAAAAAGGTTGAATAAAAGTTCTTTGGAAGCAGAAAATGAAATTTGTTACTTTCAGCATGTTTTTTTAATTGAATTAATTTTAAAAAATTAAAATAATTTAATACAAAATGAAATTTAAAGAAATATAAAAGGAAAAAATATTAAGTAATTATTAAATAATAAATCAATCTATTTAACTAATAATAAATGTAAAAATATTTTCTTTCATTTTTGTACATTTTTAGGTAAAACCATTGTATGTTTTCTTTTATGTAAAAAGTTACATTTAATTATTTTTTCAGTAATGATGTAATATGCGATCAAGAACTGTAGTTGAAACTGAGCTGAGATTCATAACTGCTATTATTTTTGTAAAGTATATGCTAAAAGATAAATTGGTAGTTTAAAAAAAATGATAAAATAATTTTTAGAATTTAATCATTTTTAATTAGACTACCTTGAATAATCATTCAGCCACTGTATTTGTTAACTGTACTGTAATCTTAAAGAAGTTGGTCTTAGATTCTTTTAAAACTTATAAAAAACAGCATATTGGCATAAAGGTGCCAACGATCAGTTTCAAACAAGAAAATGATGTTCAATTTGTGCAGGTTCCCTTATGTTGCAGCATCTTCAATATGAAGATTTCTGTCATTTCATACATCGGCCTGCTCACAAAAGGCTGTGGCACTGTTGTGAAGGAGTCTCACCATTTGCTTAAATCTCATGTTTGTTGCATAAATCCTCCTCTCAACTGGGCTCACCAGCGGCCAAGTGGTAAAGATGCTGAACGTTGGTAGTTCGGTCCGAGGTTTGAATCCTGCAAACGGGCTGACTGCATGGGTGTTTTCGTGGTTTTCCAGATGTGTAATGTTTATATGAGCCAGTTTCCCTTAGAAAGTCCTCCACAAAGGCATCCCTCCCTTTAGGCAGAAAGCCCTCGTGTGCTTTGCCATAATTGAATTATCCTATCCAGTCCTGTTCTCAACTGCCTGCACTAAATTGTCAGTGCTTAGAGATGGCTAACCAGAGCATGATTCAGCGTGGACATTTCCCCGACGTTCCTTAAATAATTTCACCCATTTTCATGCTTTATTGCCACTTATTGCATTATTATCATGCATTTCTCTTATATGGCAATGAATAAGTGCAGCTTTCATGCTTCTTCTGTTCAGAACCAAATGTTTGACTTATCTCATAGTCAGTTCCATTTTCTTAAATAGTTTAACCTCACAATGCAAGCCCACCAGCTGCTGAGTAGTAAGTCACTAAACACTGGTAGTTCTGTCCGGGGTTCAAATCTCGATGAACGAGATGGCTGCATGGGTGTTTTCTTGGTTTTTCCCGTGTATAATATATATATGATCCAGTTTTCCTTAGAAAGGCCTCCAAGAAGGCATCTCTTCCTTTAGGTAGATAGGCCTTGCTTGCTTTGCCATAATTAAATAAACCAAACCAGAGCTCACAACACAAAGAGTACAGATTGATGCCGTGGATGCAAGCGGCATCGATTATTTACAAAGAATCCATGTGCACTTAATTTCATGCATCTGCAAAATTTGAAATGGTACTTATAAGTGGAGCTCAGTAAAAAATTACCTACGTATAATACTTAGCTTTCACTTACATCTAGATAAAGTGATATATATCACATTATTTATGTTTTCCGACAACTATAATGTTAGAAAGAACTGGTTTCATAGTTTTATGACTTCCTTCTTTTAAGAATTCTTTGATCCATAACTTGTGGAATAAAAATTGAGTTATTGAGAGTTTTTCTGATTATGATATAAAACACTCAGTTGTATAATAGTTCATGTCAATTTCAACAATTTTTAAGGATACATTGATGAACCTGATTTGAATATGTTTCTATCACTGAAATGTTCTATCATCACTGATAATAGACTAAATCAGGTACATTTTAGGAAATACATACAAATTTTATTCTTTTCATATATATCTCTAAAATAGTTAATGTATTAATTATCATCTTTTAGAGCAAACTGCTAATTTGAAGATTCTAATTAGATAATTCATTATTATAATTTGATCATGTTAGATTATTATTTGAAAATGATTAGAATAGTTGATGTGAAGATTTCATACTATAAGATTATAATCTGGAGATGGTTGGAATTGTTAGTTTGAAGAATTATCAGCAACAGTAGGAATACTTTCTGAGACTGATTTGAATAGGCTTTGCATCACTGAAATGTTCTATGCCTGATGATAAAAAATTGAGCTAACCACAATATATTTTAGGGAATTTATGCAACTTTTAATTCTTTTTCAAAATGTTAATGAAACATTCAGTATGCTCTGAAGCAAGTAGCTGATTTCAAGATTGCTTTCTTAGAGGATAGGATTTGTATCCTACCCATAAGAGCTTATTAGCATGATATTCTTTAAAATTCATTGAGAAATTTATTCAGTTTTTTTTTTTTTTTTTTTTTTTTTTTTTTTTTTTTTTTGTTTTTTAGGGAGGAGGTTGAAGAGCTGCAGCACCAGGTTCAGAAAGAAAGAGAAAATTATCAGTTAGCAGCACAGTCTGACATTGGAGGTGTGTCAGCAGTTCCCTACTTTAGTATTAATGATATGTTTCAACTTAATCATGAAGATGCATCTTACCTGTTGACTTTAGAAGTGCAAACTGCTATAGATAATGTTCTTATACAAGTAAATTTTTCTTCATCTTTCATGCACTTTTCAAATATGTCTCACATCTATAATTTATTTGCTTTTATGTTAATTTTCTTCATTTAACATAAGAATAAATATATCTATTTTATTTTAGACTAGAAATATGTCTCTAATAGTGATTAGACATAAAAATTCAGAAATTTTTAAAGGAAAAAAAAAATTGGAAATGATTTCCCCCACTTCCTTTTTTTCTCTCTCTCTATCTCTCTTCACCCCAACCCCATGTCCAATTTGTCAGAAAAGTCACATGCAGTATGGTTAAGTATTAAAGAGTTTTACAAATGTTTCTTAACACGCAAATCTAAAATCTCTAAAAATTTTGCATTCTAGAAATTTGTTGAACTAGCATTTTTTAAACTAAAAATCTGCTGTGTGAATTATACATTTATGTCTTAAATATACTTAAAAGTACATGAAACTTATTGTTAATTGTTTCAATCTCATAAACTCATAAATGGAGATACAGGGTCAACATTTTAAAAATTGTTAGTTGGAGAATTCAACATACATGTAGTTTATACATTTAAAAAATTTTTCATTTATAAAAAAATAATCTCTTTTTAGCTCCATTTGAAATTAATAATGCTACAAATCTTTTATAAATTGTTAGATTAGAAATATATTAGAAAATGAGAGCTTTTTTATAATTAATTTTTAATACATAATTTGATGAATACAGTTAAACCTTGCCAAACATTGGGTGTTACGTCATTTATGTATGGCAAAATCACATTCTGCAAACTTAACTTCTATGGGAAAAGTGTGTTAGGTATAATTCAGATTAAGAAAGTATATATAACCTAAGCAAACCTAAGTTTGTAATTAAAAGATAATTGTTAGTTGAAAGGATTTTTATTTCTGCTTAATAAGTAGATGCATCATACGATTATTTTTTAAAAAGCTGGCAATTTTTGCATGGGACAATAACTTAATCCTAAAGTTTTGCTGTAAAAAGGCCAGAGATTTTCAGTACCTGTCATAGTATTCTTTCTTCATTTGTGTAGATCTCCATTGAAAAATCAGACATTTCCTGTGCTTTTTTTAACAATTTATTTAACTTCTTGTAAGTTAAAGGTGTTTTATTTTCGTCTTCACTATTGCTGCTTTTGCTGTCAGTTAGGTTATTAGATCATCCAGTTCTTCATTTATCAAATCATGTTCATTCATTCTCAAATAATTCTTAGACTTCTTCTTCTTCCCATGTATGAAACTGGTATTGCCACTGATTGTTTTTACAATTTTTTTTGGCTGCATTTTTAATCGATGGAAATCTTTTAAAATTTTTGACAGTTTCTTAGCTGATTATAACAAACATTTATTATTAATAAATTCACTTGCTCCTATGCAAATTCAATCATTTCTATTTAGTGGCTTATGTCAAGTTGCTTCCAAAAAGTCATTATCATAACTGTACCATTCTTTCTTTTGTCTAATGCTGTATTTGCTGAGATGTAAAACATGCCTGGCATAATAGAATCCTGATTGTTTTTATGATCCCTTGATTCGTTTGTTAGAATAAGAAGTAGTGCTAGGTAAGAAGAATAAAATCTCTAGATTTGGTTGCAGTGTAGGGAGGGTTCCACAGCATGTTCTGGAACATTATCAAGAATTAGGAGAACTTTAAAACTCGAGTTTTGCTGTTTTAAGTAATGTTCAGCATCTTTAATGAATGAATTTTCAAACTAGTCATTAAAGAGGACTTTTTTTACCTATGCTTTTCTATTCCATTTCCACACAATGGGCGATAGCTCAAAGTTTTTCCCTGCAATGCATGAGATGTTTTAGTTTTTTTTTTTTTTTTTTTTTTTTGTTTTTTTTTTTTTTTTTTTTTTGTTTTTTTTTTTTTTTTTTTTTTTTTTTTTTTTTTTTTTTTTTTTTTTTTTTTTTTTTGAAAAAAAACAGTGATTATATTTTTAAAAGCTTTAAAACCAGGAGAAACCATTTGTATTTTTGTGATGTATGTTCCATTTGCTTATACAATAAGCCCCTCTCATCCACATTGAAAACTTTTTGTTGCAGAATGTAGCTCTTCTCGTTAATGAATTTTAAAAATTGAGGTTTGAATTTTTTGCTGTTGCCTTATCTGCAGAGTCGGCTTCTTCATGAAGCTTTACATTGTACAAATTAAAACAATGTGTAAAGGTATTAAGCAAACCTTTGCTTACTTGAAAATTAATTTTCTCTGATGACTGGCAATCTATATTTAAAACAAAAGAAAGCAAGTACTATTAATATTTTTTCCATTTGCAGAATTTTTTAAACTTGAGCACTCTTTACCAAAGTATCTCCTGAAGCTTTGGCACTAGGCAGAATCTTTTTTGTCATTCTCCCATATTGTTCTTGATATGCTTGATTCATTCATAGTAATTTTTTAGCAAACAATGAAATGCGTATGCCATTTTTCAACTTATCTAAAATTTCAATTTTCTGAGATAATGTCATAATTTTGTTCTTTGCTGCTTTATCATCTTCATTCTTTCTCTTAGATATTGTGTTGAATTTTTGAAATACAAGTGTAAAAGGAGAAGAGAATAAATACTGATAAATATATTATTATAACTTTACTAATAAGAGTGAAATGATCACAATTCAGCCTGGTTCGCCTAGTTAGAAGGCAGCAGAAGTAGGGTGGCCAGATGCACACATAGCTCTTTTGTAAAGAGGGCATTGCCTTGGCAGCATGACCAAGCTCTGCAGTGTTACCGAATATAAATGAAATTCTAGAATTGGGCAAATTAAATTGAAACAATTAAGATAACATGCATTGCATTTTGTAGATCCATCCTTCAGAAAGGTTTACTGTGTTAGAACATTCATAGAGCTACATAGCAACATATGTTTTTTAAAGAAATAGTAAATTAGGTAAATTTTTATTTAAAGAATAGCATGTGTTATTTAAAAAGGTTTTTAGCAGCACATCAGAACTAAATTAGTTTATTTAATTTCTCTTTTTCTTTTTAAAATTATAATTTGTTGTATGTGGGAGATTATGCATTAAGATAAAATTAAATAGATTTAAATTATTCCGTAGAGCAATGATAAATTTGAAACTGCAAAAAATGGTCAAATAAAGTAGGTGATATAGGGAATCTTTGTTTGTGTACACCTAACTGCAAAGTATTTCACTGAAATGCTTGTAACTTTATGTTACATTTTATGTTATGGTTGAACATAATGTAGTATATATAAGGCCCTTTGAATAACTAGTTAGCCAAGTTCATCACATAACGTTAAATTACAAGTGTAATAAAGATGTAAAAAATTCCAGATGTGCAATATATGCTGATTATCATAATGTACTTTTTTTCAAATTTAATTTATTTAATTTTTCACTTTTAAAACTTATTTCAAAAATTCTGGAAGTGAATTCGTTAGGTTGCTAAATTTGTAACAAAATTTCATTCTTGCAATAATTAATTTATTAGGGTTAAAATAAGGTAAAAATGAACAGAATTTTATTCATTTTGTTAATAATTTCTCTGTAATTACTTGAAATTAATTGAATGCCAGTTTTATTATATTGTAAAGTAATTGCATTTAGAGTATTGCTTTTTGCAGGTAATTGTTTCAACTGTATATTTTTTTTTTCCCCTTCTTCTTTTATTTAGAGTGATGTTCCTGTTGACCTTCTAGATAGTGAACGAAATTCAGCTGTTGTTAGTTACAGCTCCTGTGATCCAGAGGTATAAAAATTTTTTAATTTTTTTACGCTATAACAATTTTTTAGCTTATTTATAAATTTAGATTTGTTAGCTTATTTATAAATTTAGATTTGTTATATCTCTAATAAAATCTCTTTTTTATGTAAGTTCTGTAACTTTCCAATTTTTTTAATCATTTCCATTTGCAGAATTTTTAACATTTTAAACTTTCTGTTTACATTACAAAACTTTTAAACATATGAAACTCTTACATCTGTAATCAGTGATTGGCATGACAAGAAGGGATAAATAAACAGTCCATGTTAAGCTGCATAGAAATTCACATATTAAAATGCTGACAGATTTGAAGTTATTTACCAAATCTTTGAGCATGTTCTGGATTTACAGTAGGTATGGTTGAACTATGGATCATGAACCACATTGTTAGAACCTAAGCCATCCCTCTAGTTAATTTGTTTTGTAAGAGGCAGCAATTTTATTTTTAAATATAACCCTATGGCCAAAACAAATTACTCTGTTTTCTATCCAAGTGAACAAAATATGTCATAAATAATGTAAATTTAGATGAATTAAAATTGGGAATTTTTTTTTTTTTTTTTTTTTTTTTTTTTTTGACAAACAGTTTTCAAGCTAAAGGCTGGGACACATATGTCCCACACATAGCTATCGACTTACTATAAACATACCTATTATTCTGGTAAACTTTATTATATGAAATAGATTTTACATCATATGGTACAGGGTAAAGCATTCTTTGCTCAACCCAACATTATACATTGGTCAACTCATATTTGTTCTTTTCTCTATGTTCATTTGTATACAATGAGTACAGCAACGTCATGATTTTCTAGTTATTGGAAAATGATCCCCAACATTCAGGAAATTCTAAGTACTTTTTAACCCAACAGTAATTTTTAAATTTTTAGTGGGACATGCATGTCCCATTAGTAGTCAAAGGGTTAAAGCATAAATCATGTTCGATACATTTTAATAAACTTTAATTCACATTTTAATGGCATTACATGGGTAGTACTTTTAAAATGATTTTAAATTTACTGTCAAAATATTAAATAAAATTGAAATAATTCTGTTTCATGTACTGCTGTGATTTTATTGCTTATAGAATAAGAAATAGCTATCAGGAGAAGAAAAAAGACTAATTCTTTGGAAAAAAAGGTACAGAGGCTGTTCACACATTTTTTGGGCGATTTTGCTTTGTTATTTAAAAAAAAGTCAACTGCTTGAATTTTTTTTAACTGCAGCTATATTTTTTAAAGTATAAATTATCATCTGCTACTTGATAGTTCTGTTTTTATGCAAAATAGCGCTTTTAAAGAAGAATGGATAAAGGCTATGTTTATGGTCTTTCCGGAGAAAATTATTCGTATCTAGTTATTAAAAACTCTGTGAAAGCTATGGTTTTAAATTATTTAAAGCTATGATAGCTGATACCGTCAACAAGATGTGAACAAAATGTCAAAGGTTGGCTTTGAGAGCAAAAATTGTTCCAAACATAGCCACAAAAAATGGAATGTTCCGAATGCTGCAAAGCTAAGATTCTTAATGTTAAACGAAAATCTACCAAGTCAAAGGACAGCAGCAAAATCATTAAATTGCTCAGTGTTGACTGGAAACAAAGTGATTAATGCCTATTTGAATCTGAAAAAGGCGAGAAAACATAATGTTCATTGTCTTTCTCCACGACATATCACCAAATGCAGAACGCACTTCAGAATTCTTTATCAGAAAGATCTATCCTGACCAAAAATGAAAAAATGATATCACAATAGATGAATCTTGGGTGTATTTAATGACTGCAATAAAAAGAAATCTATTTATTTTCATCAAAGAGGAAGGGAAAATCTTAAAACATGGTTCAAAGAATCTAAAGAAAGTTTTCCAAAGGGATTTATGATTATTGCTGGTTTTTCATATAATGGCAAATAAAAAATAAAGAGCATGGACAGAAATGCTAAGATCATCTCAACATATTATCAGGAACATATTTTATACCCAATTTTCAAATGCGAAATATCTTCTGTTTATCCACAATTAATAGAACTGTATCAAGACAAAGCAAGCAGCCACACGTCGAAATCCACTGTTAATTTCCTGGAAAAAATGTAACAAAGAACAGGTATAAATGCTGCAAAACTAAAACTCATATCCCTACTAAATCACCTAATGTATACCTTATGGATTTGCGCTTTTGGACTTTTAAAAAGTGGATTTTCCAAACGTCAACCTATGACACTCCTTGGACTTTGGGAAACTGTTAACAAGAAGAATGGGATAAAATACCTTTTCTGATGCCGCAAAAAGCTTTATTGTCTTGGAAATTGTGGTTAGAAAGATAGTGTAGAATAAAGATTATCAAATAGAACATTTAAAACACAAAAAGTTTTATTAAAATATTTCTGTAAATACAATGAAAATTATCTAAAAAATGTGCTTCTGAATAGGGCAACTTTTTTATATTGATAATGTGCTTCTGAATAGAGCTAAAGCTATCCCCAGTTTTAAGAATTTATTTCTTTGAAAAAAGGAAAAGAGATGATAATTTTCTCGTCTAACGGACTATTTGAATGCTAGATAGCTAGGTTTAACCTCTGCAAGTTAATCATCATATCAGGTGCATAGAAAATCTAAACTTACTTTTCTATGTAGAAATCTTCACTAAGTTTGCATAAGTTATTTATTTTTAAATGATTTTCATATCTCAGAATGCAGTTTCTCCATAGCTGATGCTTTCCCATATCAGTTGCTTTATGATTTTGCAAGAAATACTTATGAGTTATGTTTAGAAAACGTTCTAATTTTCTTCTAATTACAGCATTAGTCTTAATTGAACCAAGAAGCTTTTTATATTATTGTAAAGGCAACTATGTTTTACTTCATTTTCAGTCACTGCTATCAAAATTAATTGATAGTTATAATCAGGGGCGGAAAATGCTTGGCAATCAGAAGAAAATCCTTAATTTTTCCATTTCCTCTCCCCCCAGAAAAAGAGAGTGCATCATACAAAAGAAGAGAAGTGCATCATACAAAAATTTAGAATTTATATGTCATAAGAACACATTTTCATGATGAAAACAACAAAAGTTATTTATTTGTGTTTAAAAATAACCTCATTAATAAAGCATGCAACATCTTTCATTCAGAATCATAATGTCACTTCCAATGGAAATGTTAAAAATTAGGAACTGCTTTATATTTATCTTTTATTAACACCAATAACAGTAATATATTCTCTTATTAAAGTGATTATAATAAACCATCATGTTTACAACTATTCTGATATAAACTCAAAAACCAAATAATGCTTACTTATAATTATTATGGACACAAGATATTGCACATAACTATTATCATGAATTTGAAACAACAAATTTTTAGAAGTTGGAGCTGTAATGACAAAAATTTATCTTAGAGAATCTTTGAATATTTTATAATGATTAATGAGAATATATACAATTCTTATTAATATGTTCATAGCTATGTTAATTTATTGTTTTATTCATTTATTTAATTTCTAGAATGATGGCAATTTTCTGTTAGCTACCTATAGATGCCAAGCCAATACTACTCGTCTGGAAGTCAAAATTCGATCAATTGAAGGACAGTATGGTACGCTTCAAGCATACATAACGCCAAGGCTACAGCCTAAATGTTGCCAGATTAGGAAATATCAAATTAAACCATTATCATTGCATTGTAGAACTCATACTTTTGATGAAAACAAGTATGTATAATATTCTCAATAGACTGTATTTTATTGAAACTTTTTTACATTATTACATTACTTAACTGTGTGTGATATCAATTATATTATGAGGCGTATTCGGAAACTAAGTACCGTTTTGAAAAAGAAAATAGTAAAACAATTTTTCAAATCCAATTTTATTTTTACATGAAAATACATGTCTTAAACTATTTTTCAACATAGTTTCCGCCAATGATCAAACACTTGTCATAGTGGGTGACCAGTTTTTGTACACCATCGTCAAAGAAACTTCCTGCCAGTTTTGATAACCACGACTCCACAGCATTTTTCGTGTCATTGTCAGATCCAGCCACCAAGCTCGCACTTCATGTGCAGAAACAAGTGATAGTCGGACGGCGCCAAGTCCGGGCTGTACGGCGGGTGATCGAACTGCTCCCAATGAAACTGTCGAATTAACAATTGAGTGACACCAGCAGTATGGGGCCGAGCATTGTCATGGAGCAACACAATTCCTTTACTGAGCATTCATCTTCGTTTGTTTTGAATGGCACGCCTTAGTTTTGTTAAAGTCTCACAATATCGTGCCGCATTAATGGTTTCACCTCTGGGAAGAAATTCAGTAAGCAAAACGCCTTTCCTATTCTAGAAGACAGTGCACATGATTTTTTGTGATGACATTGTCACTTTGAACTTTTGTTTTTTCGGAGAATGAGTGTGTCTCCACTCCATCGATTGTTGTTTCAATTCTGGTGTGAAATGACACACCCAAGTTTCATTACCTGTCACAATTTGGTTTAAAAAGTTTTCTCCCTCATCACTGTACCGTGTTAGCAATGTCAGGGCATTACCAAGTCGCTTTGTTTTGTGAACATCAGTGAGCATTTTTGGAACCTATCGGGAACACAGTTTGCGATAATTCAAGCGGTCAGACACAATTTCGAACAAAACAGTATGTGAAATTTGTGGAAATGCCTCTAAAAGAGTTGTCATTGTGAAGCGTCTGTTCTCATGAATTGCTTCATCAACTTTCCTTACCAAATCATCGGTGACAACAGAAGGCCGACCACTCCGAGCCTCGGCGTGGACATTTGTTCGACCTGCATTAAACATTCTTACCCACTTTCTCACCATTCCATCACTTATCGCGTATTCACCGTAAACTTCTGTCACTTGACGATAAATTTCGGCCGGTTTAACATTCCTCGCGTTCAAAAATTTAATCACGGCACGAATCTCACAGTCAGCGGGAGAACTAATTGTCTTAAACATTTTGAATGTGCACAGCAAACTGAAAACACAACATAGAGCAGCCAAAATGGCGACAATTGAAAGTCAGTGAACAAGAAAGACTAGTGCGCATGCGCGGGATGCCTACCACAGTTCTGCGACGGCGCTAGATTGAAACGGTACTTAGTTTCCGAATACGCTACGTAAATTGGTGTTTTATATGTGTAATAAATGTTAATTACATTTCATTAGTTACTTTAATCTAACAATATATGTAATTTCTAAGGCCATTAAATACTCTTATACTAAGAGGAGCTTTCACACTTGCTGAGATCCATTCATGGATTGTCTTCTGTATGCCCGAGGTTCCCGAACGCATGCCGCCCGGGGAATGTGCTACATTTTATTTCAAATCTACTTTCTTAGATACAGTTTTATACTGTTATTATAAGTAAGTATATGTATTTTATGTTACCTTATTTATTATATTTTATACTGTATTGCACTTGAGTACTGATTGCTTATCATTATTTTAGAAAAGGTGAATCTACATTTAAATCTGATAACATATCAACTATATCCATTTTAAAAGACGTTTTGACTCGTGAAGCTACAAGAAAAAAAATTTCTCTTGATATTTCTTTTGGTAAGTCAAATAAGCAATCACTTTTAGTCCTTGTTTGAATTAACGCTATTGTATTTAATAATCTTTCGTTGCCTTTTCTTTAATTTATGCAGTTTATCACATGTGATATAATTTTTAATGGTATTTTTCTGTATTATTAGCTAATATAAAAAAGAGGTTGCAGTGGAGTGCAAATGCAAATATAATGATCCTTTTAAAATTAGGGGGAAAAATAATAATTGATTTTGAATAAAATTCTGTTTAAGATCTTGAATAAAATTCTATTTGGAGAGTGGTCAGACATGCCCTCTCAAGGCCAGTTACCAATATAGGCAACATAAGTAGCTACTTTGGGTGCCAGGTAAGTTATCTTTATCAAATGAAAAACTAAATAATGATATATTTTGCTTCAGACTGGAAGCGTGTTTAATTTACTTATGGAATGCCAATCACACCGATCACTTGAGGCCCTAAAATGTTGGAGCTGGGGCTGTGATTCTTCAGAAGCAAAATATTTCTACAAAAATTTCATGCTCTTTAAGAAGAGGCATTTATATCTGATTACCCTAGAAATTGCAAACATTTTATTCAAAATTTATGCCAAACCAAGAGTGTTTTTTTTTTATGCATAATTTTAAGTTTTACATTGGCTTGTTTCTCCTCCAATTAACCAAACCTCCTCATGGAGAATAACTGCTATTGATGAGCACTTCTGAAAATCTTCAGAATTTCCAAGAATATAAATATATACCAATATTGAGCAGTACCTCTTTGACTTACATGGAAGATCAAAATTATCTAAAATCATGCGAGTCTTATGGATTGTTAAATGTATTTTATCCTGTAACTAGTTTTCTATTTTTTTTCCTACGTAGGTATCATTAATATTCTAAAAATAATAATTGTAGGTGTAGTTACTTCTGATATGTGAATACTTGTATCCATTATATGTAGCCAGTGCAGGATTTACGTATAAGTTATACAAGCTATAGCTTAGGGCCCCCCAAAAATTAAAACTTTGTATAAATATAGTATAAGAGACTCATAAAGGGGCCCCATATCTCAAATAGCTTAGGGCCTTATCAAGTCTAAATCCGGCTTATGCACATTCTGCAGGATAATATTTCAGATTATTTTTGGACAGTAAATTAATTTGCTGAAAAGAGAGACATTTTCTGGAAAGTTAATTCAAAATTTAAGAATGTAGTTGTTGCTATTCTTAAGCCAGAGCATAATAACTTATATGGATGACTTTATGAATAAGTATAGATGGGACATATTTTGCTCCTGTTGTTGAACCAAGGTATTTCTGGTAATAGGATATTTTGCTAAACACCCCTTAGTTTTTCTTGAGGTGTGTATATTTTCATATTTTTTCTGTTAATCTACAATATAGTGATTCACTCTGCTTAGACATGTGGTGTGTAATCAGATTTCTGATTGTGTTCAGTTAAAAATTGATTTTGATCAAGATTTGCATCAAAGATAGATTTATGGGCTTTGCTCAAATTACATTTATGGGAGGCTTTGTTTTCCTAGGGCTCTCCAAATTCAAAAGAAAGCAGCATAAAATAGTAATAAATATACCCTGTGTCTTATGATGATGAGCCCCTGAAAGTTCAAGTGACGTGGTTGCATTGCTTCATTAATCCACTGTGGCTTTTCATGAGCACCATGTTGTTCTTGTAGTATATTTTAAGAACATAAATATTTTCAAAATAATGTATTAAAAATGGCATTTGGAATTCACTAGTTATAGTAATCAGGAAGTTGAAATTGCCATATATTTCCATGTATAAATTGATAATTTTTCATAAGCGTTTTGCTTCTAAATTTTGAGTTCAGATTTGTCTTCATTTCTACCCAAACATAAGTCTGATCATGCAACATTTTTTTAAATGATCCTTTGTAGCTTAATATTTTAATGCACTTCTCTTCAACTTATCTGATAATTCTAGCTATGGTAAACGATAAAATTATTTAAACTTTGGAAGACATATTTATAATGAGATTTTAAATTCTGCTTGTATGTAAACTTTAAATTTTTTTGCAGTGAAATTTGATCTGTGATTTTATATTCAAATATATACTGGTTTTTAATTTTTTTTATTTAATAGTAATCCACTAACTTTTTAAAAGAAAATATATATAAAAAGTAAATTTATTATAATTATTCATTTGATGTTAAATTTGACTCCTTTAATTCTATGAATTATTGTTTTTTTTTTAGATATAAATGAAGAGAGTGTGCCTCACATGTTGAGATTTATTCACCCAAAGCTTGAATATCAATTACTTTTAGCCAAAAAAGTGCAAGTTATTGATGCTTTAAAGGTATTTCATTTAAATGAATTTATTATATACAGTTATTTCTCCATGCAGTATATATTTAATGTTTTTCACATACTTGCAAAATAGGTAAACGAATAAAAATTTTTAATTTCACATCTAAAGTGAACTCTTTATTTAAAATAGGTAATTTTGATATTTTTAGTTTTGTGCTATGTTAAAATTTTAATTTTCATTGTGATTATTTATTAGTAAAAAACAAAATCTTCAGCCTCTCAGATGTTAACAGTGTCTCAGATATAACAGACTGTCTATCGGAAATTCTAAAGATTTGCTGTTTTTTAATATTTTTATCCCAAAGGAGCATTAGTCTAAATGCTCTTGTAATGTGCATGTATGTGTAAATGAAAAAAAAAAAAAAAACACCCCTTCGGGCATAATATAAAATTTGAAAGCTTTCAGATCTTTTTAAGATTTTTTTGTTTGTTTGTTTTCATGATATATTAAGAAATTTATAAATTTTCTAAGATTATATTTTCTCTTCAAGGACTTAAAAGTACATGAAAGTGACTTAAGTTTCTTAGCTCCAGAATATCAGGAAATATTAGATTATGCAGACCAGTTGCAACTGGAATATAAAAGACAGCCTTGTCATCTTGAGAGACTTTTTGGTAAAAACTTAAAAATCTCTTTTATTTGATTAATTTTGTTCTGTCTTTTATTTGTATTCTTGAATTGATATATATTTTATTTTAACTATTTCATAAAAATTATTTAATTTACAAATCATTTTGAACTCTGAATGAATTTCAGTCATTTTTCCAAACATGAATAAAAGTTTAATTTATCATGCATTTTGCTACTGAATTATGGGGTCGACTTATATACAAGTTTAAAGTGATTTTCAAATAATTTGATCCCAAAAAATGAATAATTTTTAAAAGTTATTATTTTAATTTTATTTAATCCTAATGCCAGTTGCATATCATCAGTGGACTAGAGGTACTAAGCTAGTCCTCTTATGTATTAACATTTTCAAGCATATTTTTACCTAATATTGAAAAACATTAAAAGGAACATTATTTTACCTCTTTTGAAATTTCACACCTTTTGAAGGTAATTAAGTTTTTGCCTGAAAGAAAGGAGCTTGAATTGTGCTGACTGTATGCCAGGCAGGACTAGTCATGGTGGCATTCTTATAATTTGTGAAAGAATTCAAAATAAAATATGCAATAGTTCCAAGTTTAAGTTATAGAGGGAGAAGTGGTATGAAAAGCTAGTACCGAGGCAAGAGCTTTATATGGATTATGCACGAGCAACCCCTAAAGCTGTTTCATTGCAATACTCCCATCAGCTACCAGTGTCACAACCTTATGATCTTCATTGTTTGCAAGTCATATTGGTTGAGATAATATATTTTCAAACTGCACAAACAAAATAAAAGGTAAATCTTCTCCATACGTTCTCATTTGCATAAGCATGAAATATTACACTTGTCACTGGAAAGTGGAATATTATATCAATTTCAAAATGATTAATAATAAAACTATGAAATAATCTGTTTTGCTGACCTTGTGCTCTTTTTGAGATAAATGCAATAATAAACTAATTATTTATTATTACATCTATCAGATTTAAAAAATTAATTTTTTATGGTATGATCACTTCCCTCTCTAATTTTCATGAATTTGTTATATAATTATTATTTATATTAACCATCATTGTACTCGTTAATCTTCATATTCAAAATACAACAAATCCTGTCATGATGACTACCTCTTTAAGATGACCACTTCTTAAAATGACTGGTATATCCAAGAACATAAATAAATTTGTTAGATATTTTTGAGAAATTAAACCATCTCAGTGTCTTTATTCAAGAAAAAATAGCAATATTGTTGCGTGCGTACGGGTTCGTTATGAAATGAATGCACAAGTCCGATGAAAAATGAACAAAAATTTATTATTATCACAACAAAAATGCTTAAATTATCATGCAGTATTACAATATCTCACAGTAGTTATCTTTTAACTACTCAAATGTCCAATATAACTTAATTCAAAACAGCTAAAGAAAGCTAATTCGCGAATTCGCTAAGATTTTTAAATCGTGTGCGAGAATTTTCTGGTACTTTCTCGAAATCAAAAAGACATATTTTATTTATTTAATGTTAAATGCACGTGCTCTTGTATTTTCAATTTTTCCGGCTTAGCTTTTTTTTAATATTCATCACGCGCTGCACTGCGCGGGAAATAAAACCATTTAATTTATAATTGAACTAACATTAGCTTTTTAAATACCAAATTCGTAACAATATATTTAATTTGAATGATGTAATTGAAGTTTTATTAGAAATATCAGCATTTGATAGAATAGCATAGAAAATGATTCATTTGGAAAGTTTTTGATTGTCTTTATTATTGAAAAAAATAATTGTAAAACTTAAGTTGCAAAAATTACCTAGAAATATAGGTTTGCAAATGCTTAAATCACATTTTGATTTAAAAATATTATCCTGGATTCAAAAACCACTTTTGATTAACATTAATGAGATTAATCACCTGCCGTATAAAGCCCAAGAGGAATATGTTGAACTATCAAGCCACTCAAAACTTGAGTTTCTACAGAAATCCTTGACTGAATTTCTGAATAGGAGTTAAAACTGAATTTATCATGATTTCTGAAATAGCATTAAATGTTTTATGTGAAATGACTTTTCAGCTGTGACACTCCAAATACTCTTCAGTGCTGAAAAATGTCGAAGATGCTTTATGTCCAGTTGTATCAAATATTACATCTAGATTTAATTTATTATGCAACAAAACACAAGTAAATCCATCTAATTGAAATGCTGTTTAAAAAATAATTTCTTGTTACATATTGTATGTACTACGTTAGTACATAGACGTATGTACATCAGAGAAAAAGATTAATTACACAAAATAAACTGTTATTATTTTTTTCTTAATTATGCTTACTTATTTAAAGATTTTCTTCCTTTTCAAAGGAATTTAAAATTCACTATTTCCAGATACTGATAAATACAGTAAACTCCTGATTTATATGGTGAATTAAGTGTGCTCCATCAAAAAAAAAAGTTACATTTATTTATTGCGGAATGATGGACAAACTATTAACACAGACCATCTGCATAAAACAAAATTGTCTACGGAAAATATGAGTAGGTGAAGAACTAAATGAGCCTACACAGACCGTAACATCAATGAACATTTTTAATGAGAGAGATTAACTTAAACGTATTTTCATACAGCAGAGAAAAGCGAAGAAGTTAAAACATATACATATATATGTAATAAACAGTTACGTCATCACCGCACTAATAAACTCGAATGGCACATACGTCAGGAGAAGTGCTTTTAAGCTAAACGTCATATTATAATTTATGATACAACAATTCCCCTTTCGATGTTTGACTGCTGAAAAAAAATAAATAAATAAATAAAATAAACATTAATCATTTATAGTTATTCCAATTAATTTACAACACTTAGAATGTTTCAAAGCAGTAAATGTTTTTGTCAGTACATCAGCAGGCATTTTCTCTGTTGGCACATATTTAACATCTATTTCATTTTTCATCTATTCAATTTCATGTATGAAATTATGTCTAATATCTATGTGTTTAGTGCATGAGTGAATGATAAACAGCATTTTTCATAAGCTTCTGTGCACCTTATCACAATATATAATGGTTAGATAATCAGCATACAAATTTAATTCTTTAAGAAAAGGATGTAAATAAACTGCTTCTTTAGCATTTTCTGAAAGACTGATATACTTTGCTTCAGTACTTGATAATGCAATAGTTTGTTGCTTTCGTGATTCCCACGTTAGATTTCCAGCAAGCTTGAATAAGTAACCTGTAAAGACTTTTTTATTATTAACATCACACACCCAGTTGGCATTGGTCTATTTCATATATGCTTTTCCAGTTTTTGAACAATAATTTTTAGTTCCTTTTAAGTATCGAAGAACACACTTTGCAGCCAACCAGTGTAATTTTCCAGGATTGTTATTAAACTGGCTCAGGTCAGTGACGTCGTATGTAATATTCAGCCTAGTAAACACAGAAAGATACATAAGAGAACCAATTAGACAGCGATAAGGTACATTGTTCATTTCTTCCTTTTCAGTTTTCTTTTTTCAGAAGGACATTTTTCTTTAATTAATTTTACACTAGGATCTAAAGGAGTTGCTACTGGTTTTGCATCTTGCATATTAAGCCTTCGTAGAATGTTATCAACATATTTCTGCTGAGATGAACTAATAGAATTATTATTTACATCTTGATAAAATTCTGTTCCAAGACAATAATGAAGTTTACCTATATCTTTAACATGAAATTCTTTAGAAAAATAATCTTTAAGTTCAGCATATAAATCACAGCTATTTGTTGCTATTATTAAGTCATCCACATATAAAATTAGAATGAACTTACCTTGAGATGTTTTCATCTTGTAAAACACACTTATCTGATTGTAATGATTGTAATTCAAAGTTTTTCATTTTTTTGTCTAATTTTTCATACCACTGTTATCCACTTTGTTTCAAACCATAGACTTATGCAAAGCATAAACATAATCAGGATTATTTTAGCTTGTTCCATGATAATTTCTTCTTTTAAATCCCCATTAACAAAAACCATAACAAAATCTAGTTGATATAAAGAAAGGACGTGTTCAGCACTGTATGCAATCACAGTTCTTATAGAGCTTGCTCTGGCTACTGGTATAAAAGTTTCATTGAAATCAATTCCAGGTTCCTGTGCAAATCCTCTAGCAACCAATTGAGCTTTTCTCTTTTTGAACTGTTACATCTGCATTATATTTCGTTCTAAGAACCCAGTGACATCCTATTACCTTTTGTTCTGTGGTCGCTTTACTAATTTCCATGCACCATTTTTAACAGTGCATTAACTTCCATTTAATGCAATGCTTCTTCTAATGCTCGGATTTGTGTCCTATTCTTCAGCAATTTGTGCTTCCTTTTTCTATGTTTATTATTACGGTACTCCTTTTTGGTCTTCCTGGCTTCCCCAGTCTTGACTTTCTTTGGACGACCTGGCCCCCTTTTTAATCTGCATTTCAGGTATTGCTTCGGAATCAGAATCTTCATTATCAGATGCTTCTGCCATATTTGAGGGGTCTTCTGTTATTTCATCAGCCGATATTTGCTTTACATTCAGAGGTTCTTCTTTTTATCAGGAATATTTTCGAGAAATAAAACTTCTAAATCTTTATCATAATTAGTACAGTTTTCAAATTCATCAATGAATCTAACATCTCGGCTTATAACGATTTTTCTGGAATTTTTATTCCACAGCCTGTATGCTTTCGATTCATTTGAGTATCCTACAAATATATGTTCTTCTGATCGAGGATCGAATTTCCCTTTAGACCTTTTATTAAGTACAAAACATTTCTGTCCGAATACTTTGAAGTGAGAGTTGGCTTGATGCCAAAAAATAACTCATAATTGTGTTTTGTTTACTCCCAGGCTTCGATTTGGGCAACGATTACGAATATAAACAGCACAGTTCAAGGCTTCAGCCCAAAAGGATTGGAGAAAGATTACTTTCAGTAGTAACAAACATCTGGCCATTTCAGTTAAAGTGCGGTTCATGCGTTCAGCTCTCGAATTCTGTTGAGG